GCTCTTGTTCCCCGCCGTGGCGAAATGGTCACGGGTCGAACGGGCGGGGTAAAGGACGCAGGACAGATGCTCCCTTGTTCGAGTTAAGCGGCTGTACATCGAAAGTTGGTGCTACCGAGTTCCGAAAACAGATTTGTTCATTGTGCCTTTGTCAAGACTGGATCCCTCGAAAGCTATGGAGTGCGCGACTCCCCAGAGTTCGTCTGAGAGGGCCCCCGTCTTGCCGTTACGAAGAATGAATATTGTAATCAGCTTTGAAAATAACTTTTCTAGTTATGTCGTCAGTCGTTGAGCAAGGAATGCGTCGGAATGTTTGCAAGTTTTACTTTCCTTCTCATCGAAAAAGCTGACATTGATTTGTTTGTTTGATTATTTTGTTTTCATAATATTTCGAAAGGTAAAAAGTCAGTGTGTTTTATTTTAACAGAGAGGGCATAGTAAAAGCCCCTGTTTAAGATGCCTTCTGTGTTTGACATTACATGTTATTATGCGCGTCAGTGTAGGTCAACTTTGCCCTTTATTTTGTTTAACGTGCGCAAGTTTGATTTTCATTGTTAATTTCTTACTTTTCAAGCGTGTTTTATTTTGTTGGGATGGTCATTGGCTGAGCACCTTGAGTTAGGGCTTATCGAATGACTTTGTTTTGTTTAGCGGTCTGAAGCTTGCAAGAGACGCCAATGTGCATGATTAGAGTGTTCTTGGTATTCTAAATTGTAGATTCGGGGCCAAATTGAGTTAACCTCAGCAGCTTCGATCATCCCCAATCTGCCCGAGTCACAATCGAGAATCGCTCACGAAAACAAAAATTCTGTTTGGTTTAGCAGTGTCATGCACTGTAAAGGAGTGTCAGCACTGTGTATTCCTCCCGAGATTCGTTGCTCGTGATGCTAATAGTTAGCCCAGCGTAATCTCGAGGAAACATTTGGTTCCTGCTGGTCTGGCGATTTGATCAGCATTTGGGAGGGTGCTTGCTTTGGCCAGAGTGGTTCAGCTTTGTGTTCGACTCCGTCGTTCCAGTGAACCTCCGCAGGCCTATGACAGTCTCAACGGGCGGAGAGAGCGGAACGGCTACCGATGGTCAACCAGCATCCCTCCCTCCGAGCCGCGCTGACGGCTCAAAACTCCGGATGCATTGTCTGGCGGCGGGGGTACTGTTGTGCCACAGACATGTTCCTCGTTTGGGAGCACGTCTCACGAGATCGAGCGCTGTTCCGACGAACTGACTCCCCCCCTCCCAGTGCCGCCTTCCGCGCAGAAGAACCGTGCAGTTCCGGGGATAACGTCGCTTCCTCCGCCGAACCACCTTGCAGTTCCGGGTATGGCTGCGTGTCCTCAGCCGAGCCACTGTGCCGTTCCGGGGAACTGGTCTCGCAGAAGAGTCCCCAAACGCTATTTAAGGCCGTGCCGGCCCCATGTTAGAGGATTTCGCCCCAGCCGACGTTGTCGTGCTGGCCGGCTCTGTACAAACGACAACCTGCTACAGTAAACGCTCCTTTTGTTGCTGTTTTCAAAACGGATTGCCTCCCTGCTTCGCCTTCGGGCTAAGGCTTCAGCGAAGTCCGCTCGACTGCTCGCCGCTCTTCGCCACCTGCTACCATCGCGAGACAGCAAATTCCTAACACCACATGCGCCCGATCCATGCCGCTTCATCAGCCTCTCCTCTAGCCTTTTCCTGCTCTCTCCAATCGCCTAGCTGCATGAGTGCTTTGCGGTCATGGGTAGAGAGCCCGTCATGTAGAGCCTAACGACAGAAATCATATGAAGTTATTTTTTCTTCAGTAACATACAGATCGGTGGGGCAGCGTCTTGCATTCCTCGTGTTCATAATGTTGGCTGTCTGGCTGGTTCTGTAAAAGATACGGCATTTTGAGATAATGTGTCGCGGTTCGTGGCCCTATGCGAGCAACCAATGGGGAAGCGTTACTGCAACCCAACTGCATGCACAGGCTTCCAGAGCGCTGTGATGCAGCGGTGGCATTGCTTTGAGCCACAAGTAAGGAGCCCGATGGAACAAATCTGACAGACTATGACTTTGGAGTGGGAAACACGTCTGTTGCATCACCAAAAGAAAACGCTCAAAAGCGCGCGCAACGCGAGCAGCGCGGCCCCTCATATAGCGCCACAGCACGACTACTCCCTGAACTAATGCGAACCGACGGCTTTTGTTGATAAGCGCGCATTTGCACTGGCATTGAAAGAAATAAAGGAGGCATTCACTATGACATCCGAGATTTCAGAAAATCGGTCAATGGCCGTTGCTGCTGCTGTGCCTCCTACTACTTTCGCTCTGCTGCTAGAAGTGGTTTCAGCCGTGCAGTGAAAGCAGGCAATGTTCGGCAAGGCAACAGTGACATCAGAAAAATCACTTTAAGGCGGGTGAATTGAAAGGCGCTAACACAATGTGAACCATTAATGCAATTTTTTAAAATAAATGCTTCCTCGGCAAAAAAGTAGCATTACTAGATTTTTGGACCACTAATTCAACAATGAACGTCGACTTAATATTTGCCTTTAGTGTCCCTTTAAGGTTATTAGCATTCAATACCTGCAGCTGCTACCACACACCCAGAAGCACCAAGTTGCTTAGTAGCTACTGATTACCCAAATGTACATGTCACAAGCCTTTGATTATGGGCCTCGTGCCCTGCCACATTGAATCGCACAGGCATCGCCACCAGATGTTAGCCACAGAAAAGTTAGCCTTGTTTGTAGCTTGCAGGTGGACATTCATGGCAAGAAAGCATGGCTCCTAAGCAGCATAATGTAGCATTGTAGCAGCATGACGTGTAAGTGCACGGCTGCTACAATAGGTGCAAAAACACCATTCACAAGCAACTATTTCGAAAAAAATTGTGTCTGATGACAACTCTCGACCGCAGCTGTGCGCCACGTTAGCAACGCCTTAAATACCATTGATAAGTGTCCCCAATCGCTTATGCTTTTTTTCACCTTTCATTATTTATTTTAAATGTATACACAAACTTACAAAGCCACCAAGAAATAGGAAGATAGCAGGCTGACAATGGAAACATAGGGCAATATGTTTGTCAGCGTTTTCTTATCTCGTGTGTGATTTCTGACCTGTCAGAACAGCGAGCAGCAGCAGCAGGCGCGGAATCCGATACACGCCATTTTTCGCTTTCCTTTTCATTGAGAACGAAAAGAATTCAACATAGAGCAGCAAACATAGAACATTAAAAAAGTCAAAAGCACATCTCAACTCGTATCGTGGTCCACCTCATTTCCAATAATGTCGAAAGGTTCCATCATGCACAGCATACTGAGTGCTAGTGCACAGCTTGGCGCAAAGTGATGAGCAACTTCGTTTGAAACACAGATTAATGCAATTTCAATCCGATTATAACAGCAAAACAACACATGATCGTCGCTTCTCGTCACCATATTCATGCCAGCCCTGGTGGCCTTGGATAGTGATGCCCTATTCTAGCAGACGACAACCAGTGGCGAACTGATGGGAGCCTGCATTCTTGCAATCTGAAATGTGTTTGTTTGTGCCCATGTGTGTATATGGTGGGCGGAGAGGGTTACTATCCCTGTTTAGTGTCCACAGAGTTCAACAGAACTTGTTTCCAGCCCAAGCAGCTTAATTTTCTCTGCTCCTTTTTTTTTTTCGCAATGCGGTTTTTAGCAAAAAGAAGGTCTTTCTGGATTGCCTTGAGACAAAAGGGGGACGAAGTTTTGTTGAATGCTACGTTACAAAGAGCCACTGCAGGCCAGTTCAGTTCTTCGACTACAGCTCTAGACAGTGCTAGTTTAAGAAGCTCTAGACAGTGCTAGTTTAAGAAGTCTTTCAGGTGAAAAAGAAAAACCTGACAGGTAAATATAAGTTAGCACAGCACATTTATACATGCCAATAAAAAAAAGTTGATATACTGCAGTTGTCATTCTTGGAGAACAACGGATGCCATAGCCGTTTTGCCATTACCTTGAAACATACAGACGGGCACGTAGGCAATTAAAGGCGCACCCCTGTCTCAATAAAGGGTGAGAGCAGCAGTGCCTCCATACCAGCACCCGAGGTCTATATCACTACGCCATATAGAATGCTACCCCACTAGAGCATGCAAAAATGATGTACCAACAGAAAATTACTGACATCACAGCTTCCTGCATAAACCCTGGACAGTATGCTACATCTGCTTTGTTTATGTCAGACATGTCATAGTAAGAAACGACTACAGAAGCACCTAAAACAAGCTTGTTTGTGGAAGCATATATAGTAAGGCTTTCCCAGGAGTCTGTTCACAACTTTCATTCACCTCAGTAGTGTTGAAAGCTGGACTAGTTGGCGAGATATCATTTTCCTGATTTCATTCACCTGCTGCAGAAGCTGATGAGGTGGAAGTGAACACTGTGACCTGAGCTTCCGTCTGACCATATCGGATAATCGTACAGTCAAGCCACTCAATCAGGTTACACTTTACAAACACTATATTTCTATAGGGGACCATTTCTTGTATATGGTGTAAATACGCTTTGAAGGAGCTCGACACACCGGGTGAATCGTGTACCCAGCGCTGTAAAATGTTGTTGCGTCATTCTGAAAATATACCGTGGCAAAAGCAGTCAGAACGAGTGACACTTTTAAATGATGGGCAGGAGCAGAAACCACGCATTAACTGCCCACGTCAGTGACATAAAACTTGATGTACCTAGATTTGCGTCCGACGTATTTTCTCGCTGGCTATTGAAGGACGTGGAGCAGCGGGAATTCAGCAACTGAACGAGTACGAGAAGGGCACCAGAAGAAAACAGAGGAAGACGTGTAGCATTCATGGATCATGGCATGCTGCAAGTGAAAGCTCTTGCATGGCGCTTTTTTGCGCTTGTGGTGGAAAGATTCTCGCACATTATAGTTCACGCAAAAAGTGATTCTAGTATAGTAAGTATAGCTCGTATGGTCGCGAAGCCTACAGTCCTGAAGCAGTCTGATACTGCCTGTTTACTTCGACCACAAATATTATGCGTGTACGAGTTACCTGGGCCAGTCTACGGGTGCGCACCACCTCCGTAAGTTCCTTGATCACCTTCAGGCGCTGAGCCACGGAGCAGTCGCTGCCCAGTTCCTGCGCACGCAAACGCTTAGCGGCGGGCAACTGACGAATGCCCGCGGTCTACCCACCTTCAGAACTTCGAGGTCGATGGCATGCTCTTCCAGCCGAGGCACTGCTGGTGAAGACGCTTTGCCGAGCCCGAACAACGACTTGATTCTCTCCAAGGGCTTCTCTTTATCCTTGGCATTTTTTGACATTGCTACTGCCTATATCGCTGCAACGACGCAGGTTGCATTAGGTTGTTTACATTCGCAGTTTCTGTCACGGACAGCCGCTTTGAGCATACGGGCGCGCGCTTTTGCAGACGACGGCGATGGGGCGGCGCCGTTGCGGCACTCTTAAAATGATGACAGTGGTACACACCGTTCCCTACCGCCGAAACAAGTGAGCAACAGTTCATCTAATTCACATTCTGTGCAAGCACAGTCAACCGCTAACAATCGCAGCGGCACAACTGCAGACAGCAGGATGGATGGATGGATTGATAAAACAACACCTATAACTGTACCCTTTACATCGGGCGGCGGCTTACGCCATCTAGCCGTGATACATAGTAAACCAAAAACTAGAATTATCTTTTTTTTTTTCTTTAAATAGTGAAGTTGAGGACCGGTACTTTGCAGTGAAGGGTTTAATTTTCACTCGTGCCTTGACTTTAGCCACCAATCAGATAACCTCCTTCTAGTTCTACCCGCTTAAAGTCTATTTTTCCCTCCCTGTCCCTAAACCCCAGTGCTTTAAAGAACTCTGCGCCATCATCCTGAACCATAGGGTGAAGCCTTTTAAAGAACATTATCAAGTGTTTGGCAGTTTCCTCTTCCTCTCGACACGCACTGCATACCGTGTCTACGGTCTACCCCTTCGTATTTGGCCCGATATGTCTCCCGTCCTCGCCTCAAACAGTAGAGAACTACCTCGAGTACTATCATAGATTCTTTCCTTGGCAATTTCCTGCTTAAAAGTTCGATAGATCTCCAGTACGGACTTCTTAATCATGTCAATTCTCTACATATCAGTCTCCGTTTCCTTCACCATCTTTTAACCGCTAGTTCTTTTAACCAATAGTTCTAGGGCGGGCGGACTCGAGCGCCTACCTACTCCCCTCACACTCGCTTCCTACTGTTCTCGTGATTAAACACAACGATGATGATAGGAAAGTCCGCGATAATAGGTCCCATTAAGGAAACAATAAAGAAAGGTTCACACTACAGCATAAAGTTTTATAAAACCAACGGAAAACCACTGCTGCCGTAGAATCACGCAGCGTAGTGCGATCGGTTTTGGCAACGCGCAGCTTGCATTTGCGGTCAAAGGTCATCGCGAACGTGATCGCGAAGGCCTCATTGTAGCCGAGCGTTTGCAATTCGGAACACATTCCTGAAATCATAAAATAACTTTCCGTTTCGATTCTACAAAGTTTCTACAGTTTGAAGTTTGAATTCTACAGTTTGAAGTTTAGAAGTAGTCCGTTCTCTCTCGCTTCCCCCCCCCCCCCTCTGTGTGTGTGTTTTCGATAGTGATTCACGATGAAACAGTGAAGCGAAAAAGAGCGCGACAATTTTTTTTGTGCAGTTCTCAGTTTCATTCTTTGCCACTTGAGCAATAAAATTTACTTTTGTAGTGAAGATACTATAGTACCATTCCCAAACCAGTACAGTTACTATATCGTGCATGCAAGCAGCCCTCCATACTGTAAGTGGCAAACTGCTGGCCGATGTTTACTTTCTTTAATAACTCGGGTTATCAATTCCTTGTCCTTGAAGGCTGTGGTGTATGCTGTGGAGAATGTGGCACGTCCATAGTACTCTTTGACAATGCAGCTATTGTCAACAAATGTAAAGACAGGCTTAGTAGAGGAGATCATTATAACTGGTCAGACAAGTGTGTGAAGAACCACATGCATTAGTGCAAACCCTGTTAGTCGGGGTTAATTAACCTCACTACTCAAAAGCTTTTTGCAAAACTTTGAGTTGCTCAAATGTTGGATGCGTCCTGCATTTGCCTTTTGACTGCATCAGTGTGCCTCTTGGATTCCGTGGAAGATGTTTGAATAAACTTCAGCCATTGGCAAATGCCTGTTCAGTCTACTCTCTTCAATGTCAAACCACATTCTGCATCAAATGGCCCAAAAAGTCCTTTCTTAATGTATTCAATTTTTATGAGTATTTAAAGAAGAAATGCACAGGTACTATATTAAGTCACAGTATTTTTGTAAGAGTTTTGTCCCTTCTGTACTTTCGAAATAAGGTTGTACAAACAAAAAGAAAGAAAACACACATATGCAACAGAAATACCTTTCCCAAAACTTTTTGCTGCAATACGATGGGAAGGCCTGAAAATCCGATGTCTGATTTTAACCCCTTGAGGGTCAATGACATAAATATAAGGCACTGCACGCAAGTCCCAAACAGTCAACACCATACATATACAATGCCATAACTATGTTTGAAAAATGCACCACTCTTTCAACTCTTGCTAATAATAGATAGACAAGTGGGGTTTAACAGTCCCAAAACCACCATATGATTATGAGACACGCCGTAGTGGAGGGCTCCAGAAATTTTGACCACCTGGGATTCTTTCAACGTGCACCCAAATCTGAGCACACGGGCCTACAATATTTCCGCCTCCATTGCAAAATGCAGCCGCCGCAGCCGGGATTCGGTCCCGTAACCTGCAGGTCAGCAGCCGAGTACCATAGCCACTAGACCACCGCGGCGGGGCAACTCTTGTTAATAATAATAATTATTATGGTTTAACTGTCCCAAAACCACCATATGATTATGAGAGATGCCTTAGCTATGGATGGCTCCAGAAATTTCAACCACCTGGGGTTCTTTGACGTACACCTAAATCTAAGTACACAAGCGTCAAGAAACATTTTGCTCCATTGAAAATGCAACCACCACGTCCAGCATTCAGTCTCGAACCTTTCAACTCCTGTTTGTCCTGCAAGTGCCACCATATCCTGCAGGATATATTTTTTATTTCAAATGTTGATTTGAGGTTTACATTGCAACGTTCGTTTAAGCAGAAATAGTTGGCTGGCATGGTCTGTTTGTTTTTAGGGGGGGGGGGGGGTCAAGGATCGTTTTTTTATTTGTTACAGCCCCAAAAACAGACATCTGGTTTCTAATCCCTCAGATGTGGTCACTTGATACGGGCTCATTTGTTGCCCACAGGTGTGCAATTTCAGCAGTTCACAGGTGGGTACTTGTATTTGCGAATATCAATCAAGAAATAAGGACCATTTAGTCACACAAATGAAAAACATAACTTTTGTTGGAAGACACAATTTGTTACATACTACAAGAAGATTGATTCACATCTCTACATAATTATATCATGCATTTAAACAATTATTGTATCTGGTCACGAGCTTCAGAATACTCCTTCATTCTGTGCTCCTTTGTCACCAGTTCATCAAACCACGTGGTTACTTCATTCTTCAACTCTTCACGTCCAAAAGATTGTGGTGTCTTGATCGAAATGGTGAGCACCGCTCTTGGAGTGAACGGACACAGCAGACACGGTTGGAACAAACCAAACAACTTTACAGGGGGTGTTAGCACCCCCACAAGGTTGAGAACCCAAAAACTACTGCAGCTTAGGGAAAAAGCAGAAGAAATCACAAGTTGCTTCTTGAGCTGAAGTAGCAGTGTTGTGAAGGGAATCATTGCAAAGAAGCACAATTCCTTCAGAAAGCATTCCCCACCTGCTGTTTAACAATAATAATTCCCCGTGGTTTTCCAAGTCTCACAACAACAATATGCATCGATTGTAGCCTTTTTGCATGAAGTTCACCAAAAGATTACTCCTGTGATCCCAAAAGACCATGTTTTTATTCTCTGGGTGGCCTGTGCACAAACGACGCTACAGTGCCTGCTTGTGTTGTTTTTTTGAGACAATGAAAACTGATGGCCTCTTGGTGGCAATAAGATTAAGCATAATTGAAAGTTTCTCACTTATTTGATTTTGACAATGGGTGCACAACCATGGAGTTTCTTTGCAAGTGCATGCATATACTGCAATTACTACATGTCGGACGTCCGCTTTGGTTCTTTACTACGTGTGAGTCAAGCAGCGAGTCCTTTCATAAGGACTACTGCCCACATTTCAAACTGATAATGTACTTGTTGAATGCTGGCCAGTGAAGCAAGGAATTGCTAACAAGTTCACAAGTTTCGAATTAGACCAATGAGCTACTTCTCAGCAGGGTGAACAAAATGACAGATCTGATGCAATATTATTATGGTGTGCAAATTTTTATAAACCTATAAAACATATTTATGCTAGAACAGGGTCAATAGCACAGTTTTGGATGCAAAGTGAATTCGAAGGGAGCATCTACCTATATTGACTATCCTTGTGAGGATGCTCCCGAATTGTGCTTGGCAGTGCCACAGTTTATTGGCACTGCGAATGGCATGCTACCGGTGAATGGCATGCTACCTGTGAATGGCATGCAAGACTAACACATTTAAAATCCTGTAAAACCTAGTCATCCTTTCTTCATGTTTATTATGTGTCTTGTCTTTTTCTGCCTATACATTTTCCACTCGCATAATAAATTCCTGTTGGCAGTCGGTGCCTATGTTGCCTGGTCTCTTCTGTATCCCATTTCTGCGCTCTTCAGAATAAATATATGTGCATATGTATGTACCAACAAGACCGCTTAACCTCCATTTTGAAATAATCTGCAAGGTTATGAAGAGTACAACAATATGTAATATACAGGATCTCCATTTGTACCCACGATATGTGTGGTATTTTCAACATTACACAACATTTTATTAGTGCAATACTCATAAGACAATACAACTTGAGTGAAATCTAGCAGGCTGGAAATGTCCTGAAAGAGGGAAGAATAAGTTTCGAGTCACTGGCACTTGAAAGAGTGGACAAAGCTATTAACATTATTCAATACTCAATTGTACGATTAAGGATTTACACTTATATAAACTACAATGCTTAGTTCAAGTAATCACTGCATGCTCCAAAATATTTATTCCTTTTCAGGGCCTGAAAAACCACAACGAAACATCGCTTAATGCAATCAGAAGGAGTGTTCTTTGGGCACCTAAAGCTATTCGACCTAAAAGCATTAATACTCATATGATGCTTTTGCAATATGTGCCAGTTCATTTGAAGATAATATATATTAAACGTAAAAACTAGATTGACAGCTGCACTAAACTGGCTGAATATGAGTGGCCGCACTAAGTGAGGTCTTCTTGCAGCATCCAAGCATGCACACACCGTGGTGGCTGGGTATAAGCTTCGCCAGTCTGCTTCAGTCGCCCCAAACAGTGTACATGTGTGTCCTTAGCAATATGATGCACGTCTCCATTCCTTAAGCATTGATCGCATTATCGATATACATTGTGCTATGGGCTCCATAAGATCATTCATTTCTCTAGACCTAAGACTTAGATGAAGTTGAACTGGCCCTAGATTTGTTTATTTGTATATTTTGCATTGTTCTTTTATTTTAGCAGCTCGCTAACATTAAAAAAAGAAAGATGCCACAACTTGCCTTTGAAAATTTGATGCAGGTACAGCAAACTTGTTGCGTACAAGAAACGTTCCTACAGCCTCAGCTACCTGAAAACAAACAAAGCGCATATACAGTTTATCAGTAAGTGACAGTATAACACTACAGAGATAAATTAAAGAATCAATACACAGTTGGCCCCGGAATTGGAAATCAAAGTGAGGCTTTGCTTGCCTTTCCTGGGACATCCTCATGTACAGCATGGCCACATTGAGGAAGTACTTGCATTTGAAATTTCCCTGTGGAATAAAGGTGAGGTTATTGGGAAGAAAGGGGGAGGGGGGAGGCCACAAGGTGTAGAAAACAGCCCATTGCCAAGGTGGCACTGTCAGTAATGAGAAACCATAAGTCGCAATGAAGGCAGGCAGCCTCAAGATACTAAATCAGTGTAGCATTTACACAAAACAGTTTTGCATTTTCCCCACAATAATATATCAAATTTAACATTCAATTTGTGTGTTTTGTCTTTTTTTACTATGCCAAATAAAATGTTACAATTTCTCTTTCCAGCTCAAAATCAAGATAATAAAATCCTGAGACAGTCTTCAAGAGCCCCCTTACTTATGCACGCTTTGCTTATTGCCTTCCGTTTATTGCCAAAGAAAATCGTCCACCTGTACATTGCCTTTCATCAAAACTTTTACGGTAGACCCCTGGAGATTTTCTTTTAAGTTTAGAATAGAAGCTGGTGAAAGGCAGCTGTAGAACCCAGGTTCTTTCTTTATAGCACCAACAGGTACTCTGCCCATTTACAATTCAGTAGCCTATGTGTTCTGCAATGTGCAACAATGTGTATTCATCATACAGCTAGAAATAAGCCTCTGTAGACACCAATATCATTCTCTGTAAATTGTTTTCACTACAGAGAAATTCATGGTACATACAAGAGATAAGAATTTGGCTGCGCCATATGGAATGCTAAATTGTACACGCTATTTCATTGAGGCATTTAAATGCAACAAAAACTTGGAGGATGTTTGAGCTTCGTTTTCAAGAGTAGAACGCGATAGTATAATGGAGCACCGTGGGCACTGCCTCCAACAATGTCCCAAGAAAAGAAACGTTTGTGCAAGTAACATTAGCCAGTTCGAACTATCCTGACATGTCTATTGGATGCACAGTTGTAAGTTCGTCCTCTTGCTAATTGACGACGGTGCTCCCCCTACTCGTCCGTAACGTGTCACATGCACTTTTGAAGCTGCACACTTTGCATCTTCGAACCACCTACTCGTTGTGAAAGTTGCATGTTCCGACGTCTAGTGTGAGTCTGGGATTCTGCCACACAATATTACATGCGTTAGGGAGACTCCTTCCACTAGATGACACTCACTTGCAAGCAATGATGTGGCTCTGTAGGAGAATACCCGCTTGCCATTCAGATGGCCTGGGTTCGATTCTCACTTCAAACCCAAATTTTGATTATTTATTTAATTTGCATCATTCTCAATATTTTCTGTCACATGCAAGATGATAATTTCTCGCTCACAATCAATGACACCGACCCTGGCACTGACACTGACATTCTGCGAAACCAGCTGTAACGATATTGCATTAACCCCTTAAGCTGCTTCGGACGAGCAGAGCTTGTTCGGGACTAAACTGTCACCAAACTGCTTTGAACGAGTAAAACTCGTCTTAGCAGGAATAGGTACTTTCCTCTAGTGTTCAGGCGGAGAAGCATTCATTCACGGCTTACATTGTGTGTTATCCACCAGATAACAGCATTTTCTGGAGAATTTATTTTTCTCCTGCGGCAGGAGCATGGTTTTTGTAGGGAAAGACGACGTGTGGTGGCGGCAACACATGCATTGCTTGAAAAAAAGTGCTATTTGTCTTCGTGATATTCTGAAGTGATGAGGATTCGAGTAAAATATTTATTGTGTGCCCAGAAGCGAAGACAGCAATGACGATGAATTGAGTAGCTGCTCCGGTGATGATGAAGACAGCTCAGATGCGAGCATTGGGAGTGCCAGCCAGTGAAGCCACCTTAAGTTATAATTCTGAGTTTTGACATTTTCCACGCAGCCCCGAAGCTTCCCGAGTGAAATACCCCAAGGGTGCTAAGCCTACAGAAGTGAAGAAAGATGTGGCAGCTGTAACTGTTTGGTTTATAAGGTTCTTAAATTTTATTAGCAGCAGGTAACTGGTTTCCCATGTATTGTTCAGAAATAAAACTTTATTCCGTTGGTTTGACTAAGCAAGTGGGGGAATTTTTTTCTACATCGACTAGCTACTTTTTAGTACAATCGAATTTGAAATCAGCAATAAAAGAAATAGGCACTTTTAAATGCGCAGCATTTCTTAGCGAACTTCAGCGACTTCGAGCATATCTCTCCGTCCGTCCGCACGTCCGTTCGTCCGTCTGTCTGTCTGTTTGTCTGTCTGTCTATCTATCTAGTCGCCTACTACTTTTAGCTCTCCTGGTCGTTTGGATAATGGTATCGATACCAAACTTGGTATGGTATAACATGACTGTATGACGAGCATATTTGACTAGTCATAACATGAAAATTATGACATGTATGTCATGATTTACACTTCATGGTCTTGCTGCTCTTACGGTGGTTTTGTTCACATCACATGTTGCAAAACTGGTTTGGTGTGTACATGATTGCATTGCGAACACAAGCGACAGACTGTAACATGAAAATCATGACATGCATATCATGTAACAACATGATTACATGCCACGCTCATGATGGGCTCGCAGCTATTTCCCTAGCTTCACATACACAAAATTTGGTATTATGGTACATGAATGAATGACAAAGGTATGTAACTGGTGCAAACATGATAACATGATAATCATGAGATGCATGTCATGTAACAACATGACTACATGCCACGCTGATGATGCGCTAGCGGCTGTTTAGCTAGCTTCACATGTACTAATTCGGTATTACGTGACACGAACGGACGACATAGGTAAATGACACATCCAAACATGATAATCACGACATGCGTGTCATGTAACAATGTAACTACATGCCACACTCATATGCGCTCGGCTGCCGTGTCGCTAGCTTCACATATGCCAAATTTGGTATTACGTGACGTCAATGGATGACGGAGGTATGTGACTGGTGCAAACATGATAATCATGAGATGTGTTTCAAGTGAGAACATGACTACATGCCCCAGTCAAGGCGCCAATACACTTTAACGTGACCCGGCGCACCGGCATTCGTTTTATCGCGTCACGCCGGCGTTTCCACGCCAGGCGCCGGTCTTGCCATATACTCGCAGGCACGCACCGCGATGTTTTGCTCTGACGCATGCGCGTTATAGCGCATCCGGCATCCCTCCGCCACGAAAAGAGGCAGACGCAGTGCTGTCTGGGTAGCGCGTCGGCACGAAATGCAGCATGTCGCATTTCGCACCGGTTGTCGTGGGTAGGTGGTAGATGTTCTGTGGCCGCGCCGACGAACGCTGGTCGCGCCGGTCGCACCTGGCGTTAGGCTACAGAGTGCTCGCATTTCGCTAACATAGCGTCGCTGTGCCCAGCGTGCGCGCGTGTCAAAGTTATATTGGAGTATATTGGGCCCTTCATGATGCACTCACGGCCGTTTCGCTAGCCCCCATATACCAAATTTGGTGTTACGTGACGTCAATGGATGACGAAGGTATACGACTGGTGTAAACATGATAATCATGACACGCGTGTCATGATAAACATGACAAAATACCATGTTCAGAGCGTGCTCGCGGCCGTTCCGCTTGCACCACATGTATTAAATTTGGCATCACGTGACGTGAATAGATGACGAAGGTAAACGACACATCCAAACATGATAATCATGACACTGAAGTCATGTACAGCATTATTTACCTCCAGTTCGTAACGTTGCGGTGATTTTAAAGTGACATATCAACATTCCTCATTCGTATTTCCCATATTATCTATTCTCACCGTACGTGGGATTTGCCGGTTTTTTTTACCCGGAAATTTTCAAGAAAAATGAGCAGTTAAGAGGTTAAATAGAAAGGCCTACCTTGCATCTGACCAATGGTGAGATCCTTGTCTAGTCGGTCCACCCCTGCAATTTCATTTGGCATCGTCAAAGAGTACAGCAATAAAAAAAATGCACGGCAGCAGAATAGTCAAGGGTCTGCTGTCACCTGCCAAAAGGAGGAGCTTCGGAGCTGGGACAGAGAGAAACAAAGAAGACAGGCCTGCAAACCATCCTGCAACAAAAAAGAAAGAGGGACATTCAGGTGTACAAGACTGGCTTTGACTACAGGATCAATGGATCTAAATAAAATTCACTGAGCACATTGCCCTGCACACGCGCATCATTTATGCCAAATAACAGGCCTAAGAGATGCACAGGTTTCTTACAAGTGATTTTCATTAATTACCTCAAACTGCTCACTCACCTCCCCACAATACACCTTTTTCAAAAAATGCAGTGCCACAGTTTCCCCTGGTGGCTTAAAATTGGTGGGATAATGTGTAGGCTAGCAATCGTTAAGTAGAACCTGAATGCATCATGCACAACTGCATTTTTAGAGAGCCCGTTTAAGGCAGCCGTTCTTGCATTTAGCGGTGTTGCCATTGGTGTGGCCCTTGCCAGCATAATCGCACAAGTGCATGTCAGAAAAATTGGGCCAGCCTAATGTGTACAGCAGGTGCAAGAGTCAAATGGAAACAAAGTGAGTGCCACAGGAATTAGGCAAGCCCCACTACCATGTGTAGCAGGTGGGTATGTGAAACACGTAAAAATGAAAGATATAGAAAGATATACAGAATAGAAAGAAAGAAAGAAAGAGATATTAAGAAAGCTATAAAAAGACAGAAAAGAAAAAAAGTAAGGAGAGAGAAATAAACATGGAAAGAAAGACATCTTACATCACCACAACTGCAAATAGCCAGAACTTTAAACACAGTTGGCACTGTCCCAACATGATGCCACGCTCAGAATTCTCGTTGGGGAGTATCGTAAGAGTTGAATTTTAAAAATTCAGAAAAATTTCCCTACTGTTTTTACCTTTTTTTTACCTATTAAGGGGAGACGCTCCTCGAAAAAGTTTTTTTTTTTATTTCTAGTAATAGAGACTTGAAAAGTTTGTTATTGGTATAGTTTTTCATGCAGATTTCAAATATGCAATCATTTTTTTGTGTAGCTGCTATAATTATTGAGTTATGCCATAAACAATAGCAAAAAGTTACATTTTTTGCGGGCACTCTTTTATGTACTAAACTTTCAGTAAAAGCACTGTGTCTGATCTTATTTGACTTTTGGTAGATTGAAAAGTGCAAATGTCTATATAGATATGTTACAGAAATATTGGAACCAAGAAAAAAGAAATTGTATTGAATGACTTATTATTTTCAATCTCACTTGAAACAATAAGCTAATATTTTCACAACTAATGCTGGTAGGCATTGCAATTTAGAGTAGATATTTGCAATCTGCATGTGTTGAAGAATATGTGTGCCAAGTTTCGTTACTGTACAATGAATATAAGTTTCTAAAAGGCTGCCCGGAAAACGTGAAACTGTCAGAAAAAATGAAAATGAGAAAAACAAGTTTGAAAGTTCGCAAAGTTGGCATTTATTAGGAAATCATTCTTTTTGCATCAAATTGGGGCACAATGAAAAGTACCTTGCCTTGAATGCACTGCAAGTGTCTAGAAGTCCCCTGCACCATAGCTTGGTCCTTCACGGCTCTTGCGGTCAGTGTCCTCAACAAGAGCTCTCTTCGCTGTGTTGCGACGGTGTGCCCTCGCTTCTGCAGTTTGCTTCAGGTTCATCTTCCTGATGCGCATGACGTCACAGTGGTCACCATTTGTGGCCAGATCTTGTGAGGGGAGAATTCCAATGCCTTCGAGCACTTCTTCAAAGCCCCTGTGGCCTTTGTTGTACCAGAGTACAGCAAGAGCGGTGGCTGTCTCCACAGTTGTTCTGGAGGCGAACTTTGTTTTTGGACATAGCAGCCATATCTTGCTGTTCAGCGATTCGGCTGCATTCTGTGTCTTGCCATGAAGGCACCGAATAAGGAGTTTCTCCTCTGTAAGGCGCTTGTAGATAGGCATAATTGCCAATCCTTGAGCCTTCGTCAACAGTGGGGTGTGGCGTGGTGCAGGCTCCCCCAGTGCTTCTGCATGCTTGTGCTTGCACCACGAATTTGGTCCCGCGGGGCAAAAGTTGTGGCTACTGGCACCATCACTGGAGCAGCAATGAAAATACGATGCCCATATGGCAGTGTACATATTTCGGACACTGTCCTTGTTGCTCGTGATGGCGATCTTGTAATATGTTTGTAGTTTTATTATTGTTGCATCTTTCAGTTTTTCGCCTCGTGGCAGTGGCGTTGCCAATTTCCGTAGGGCAGTTCCCAAGCGCTTTGCAACGTGGTTCGTGCACTCTTCTTTGTCAATGGGGGTGTCACAGTATACATTTGCCTCGCAGACTGCAGTGTAGGCCTTGCTGTCACCATCACTTAGGAAGCTGGTGAATCGCAGTGGAGTTTCATAAGACAAGGTCCTCTGCCATATATTGACAGCTGCCGCAGGTTCCATTGCATGGGATGAGCAGTCAGTGTTTTTTTGGCAAACTGGAAGATGAAAAGCTCGCCATATCTCTTCATCCTCCCCAAGGTCCCTGTGTATACTGCAAGCATGGCAGTAGTTCGAAAGAACTTCAAAATCGAGGCAGAGCCCCGTGTCCAGGGACACGACTGTGCCCACTCCATTGTGGCTTTTATGACCTCTTTTCTGCCAGGTGCCATCAAACATGACTGGCACATCTCTGCCGCCGACTGCGTCCTTCGTGATGTTTCGTGCCTGGTGCAAGTTTTTGCTCACTGCCGTCATCGCCGCACCATGGAGCTTCTTGCAAATGCCGTTGAATGTCTTGTGATGCATCGGCCTCGGAAGACCGAGAATCGCACAAAATCGTGAAAGTTGGTCGTGGCCTGCGCCTATAGCGCGTGCTGCCAGAACTGCCTTCACGTTTACAGCAAAGCTGTCACGCGAGCTGCCGCTGTCAAAACGAGCGCTCGTTCCTTGGTCCCCGGCCGAAGCAGTACGTCTCGACGTGTGCGTGAACGAAAGTGCAGATTCAGGGCAATCAGAATTTTGACAGCACAGTTCGAGGAATACCGAAAGTCCTTTGCGCTTTCCAGCTGCCTCTCGCACGCCGAGCTTTCGTTCGTGGCAGGTTGGGCATTGTGCACCCGCCACAAGTGCCGTCAGCGCATCGATTTTGCAAAGCAGCATGTTTGCAGTAGCAGCATCTACCGGTCTACGTTCACTCTCGAAGAATCCAATCTTCCTTTGGGATGCACTGACGAATTCCACGGCAGCGGCTATTTCACAACCACTGTCGCAGGGTTCGGTGACGGTGTTAGGCCTATCCGAAGCCGGAGCGTCGGGGCGTTGGTCGGGGGCGACATCGTCGTTCGCTGTCGCTTTGCGAAGCGTCTGACGCCGTTTCCCTCGATACTTGTGGCGAGTTCTGAACTTTCGATTATCTGAACTGCACTTCTTCAGGCTTGCCATGACGCAAAAATGCAGAGAAACGCAGAAAAATTCGATCGTGACGTCCGAGGCTTCGCTCTTTTGCCGGAGAGATAGGAGGGGGAGGAGCGTGGAGCGCACCGCCGTCCAATGGCGGCCTCGCGCTGTGTGCCGCGATATTCAAAACGCGTGACGTACGCGTTGTTTTTCTCGATTTTAGTTTATTCTGCGTGAAGGCACGAGACTGGCTACTAGTGGATTATGAAGGATACGGCCTTCGCAGCATGCGTGCACGATTGCAAATGGCGGCCAATGCATCGTTTTCGCGACAGGACGACACGAACTTCGCCGTTTTTCGCGACTTTCGCGCATTTCTCGCGTCACCGCTGCCCACTTGGAAGCATTTTTTGATAATTTCTCGTGCGAATTTCAGCTTGATATTTTCAGAAGTAATTGATTATAGTCCAAGGATGCCAATACAGCCGGAAAAAAAAAAGCGAAAATTTTCCGGAAAACCGCGACTTTTCGACCCGCGTCTCCCCTTAATCTTTGCATGCCAGAGTATCTAATTGGAATACCATGGAAACGAAAGATGTCCCTTTTAGTGTGCCTCAAAAATCATGCCAGTACTCCGTTAATGACCCGATGTCAGATATAGCTAATTAAATGCTAACAATCTTACGCAAATCATAAAGGTATACAAGCGTGTCATAGTTGCCTGAACACTGCAGTAAAATTTAATAAATATAGCAGCAGCAGCTGTAGGATATCTTACCTTTCCAATATTCCTCGGTTCCAGACAAGTCTATCCGCCAAACGAATTTCGGAGAATCGTCCTGAAAAATCATAAACATCAGTATACTGACGAAACATACATAGTTCACATATGCTTGATAGGCTCTCCACCTGAGTAAAACATAAACTCCATAAGCGCGAAAATGCACGCGACAGCGACGAGCGACGCGACGTAGATCGGCGTCGCGCGATCAGTCGCTAGCGCAGGCAAACCTCATTCACGCGACGGCTTCGGCGAGCGAATTCCACTGTTGCTGGCATGAGGCCGTCTACTCGCACCAAGAAAACCGCGTAGCGAGCGGTATGCAATTTAAAAATAAGATATATTGTAGTGTAATGAAACGGAAAGTGTTTATTATTGCCTTGCAGCACTTTTTGATATGCACATGCGTAATAAACATTGCGTTATTTCTTGTTGCGCATACGTGATTCGGGCAGGGTCACGTGCACCTATGTAGTCTTCGTCTTTTCCGGTTTTTCGCTATTGGCTGCTTGAGCCCAGCACTTCCGGGCCATGAGCGACGGTTTCCAAATCTGGAGAACCGAGCGATCGCGCGAAAACGAGCACGCGACACGTCGCGCGAACGCCCTGTTTCGTCGCTCATAGCGTCGCTCGTCGCTGTCGCGTGCATTTTCGCGCTTATGGAGTTTGGGCTTTAGGGAATGACATATTATTATGAAAATTTCACCTCACTTCACATACTTACCACAGAGCTAGTAAATTATACCTATCATACGACGAAGAAATCCTTTCAGCATGTCTGAATAAACCATGAATGCCAGCCAGAAGAGTACTGCTGCACTGAAGCTATCCATTCAGCACTGTCTATGTACTTAACTTAGTGACACACATTCATGTTTTTTTTTTTATTGCAGTTAAGTCATAGGAGCATAATTACGATCATATCCTATCCAAATACATTAATGAATATGACTAGAATAACAAACTGAAAGAAAAAAATGTTTTGTTGCTTTGCAGCCTAACATGGTAACAGATATAGTACATCAGACCTAATGCCACTATTTTTTAGTAAGGTGCCACATTGTTAATTCCTTCAGTGCAGAGTTGCCAGGTGCCACAAGCAAACAAGCAAACAGTCACACCAAAACAAGCCCAAATAAGCGCCGGCACTTCTCCGAATAAGCCCAAAATAAGCGGAAGTTAAACAAATGTTCCTATTCTGAAAAATTGCGTTTTAGTACGGGAAAAATACTACAAATACATCTGTAAGGCGTACAAACATATATTTTGCATAAATAATTAGGTGCATGAATAAAAGCAAGAATGTTTTTAGCCTTACACACAGTCATCGTCACTGATATCTGGCAAATCAGGATAGTCAATGGCATCTACGTCCGCAGAACCATCCATGTTCTTTGCATTGAATAGTTCCATCATTTTTGCGATCAGTTCAAATACTCGGCAGCGAACTCTACATAGCGAACGTGGAGGATGGCGCTCAGCATTGCAGTTTTCGTTTTATTTTGGAGGGACAATATCATGAGGTTCATGTGTGAAAAAACACGCTCAACATCGGCGTTGCTCAAGGGCATGGCCAACAATGACAGAGCGGATGCTGCCGATTCCGTGAAGCAGCTTTCACTACTCGCATCTGTGAAATACAGGACTTCAACTTAAAAAGAAGTAGTGCTATTTTTTTGTCGCATTTTTCCAGAGAAGAAGGCAGACCTGCCTATATTGGGTGTCCAGAAGACCTATATTTCCCTTAATAGGTGTAATCTCACATCATAAGGACATGTGCATCAGTCACCCTTCACTTTCACTGAATGATAAAAAAACTGAATTGTTGAACAAGATGTGAGGTTACACCGTCTACGGGAAAGGTTTTATCAGTTTATGTGAATTATTGTACGATGCCGATTTGCTCATGCGCAGTGTTAATGAGGTACGAAAAAAAAGGAGTATATTTTGTGTTTTCTTAGTAAATAAAAATCGGTTGTTAGTCTGCGCTAGTCCAGTGTGTTCCTTTTATGTGTCTCAATCAATCAATAAACCAATCAATTAGTTTATTTGGCATTCGTACTTGTGTGTGTGCGCTGAAGTTCCAATTTGCTGGAAGCAGCGACTGGTAGGGAAGCGTAGTATCACGCAGTGTTTTTGATAACAAACTGCGTGCCAGGCGACGCAACATTATTTTCTGAAAAAGCACGGGTCAGGCTAAAAAAACGCAACAAGTGATCCTAACAATTTACAAGCGTCTCGGCAAAAAAACAAGCCCAAATCCGCTTATAATAAGCGGAACTGGCCACTGTGCTTGCTTCAATGGCGCACTGTTATCTAGAGCTCTGGTAAGAAATGATTGAATCTTTTCTGTATGTCAACATGTTTCAGTGTCTCGATGTAAATGAACTTGCTCTTGGTTCTGCTGCTCAATGACACCAAGCCACATTTTTCCTTGGCCATGAGAGAAAAGAAGAAAAGACTAAGCTCGTAAAAGACACTAAGCTCGTAAAAGGAGGCATTGTAAACTTGTGCTTTGGTAACGCCTTACAGCAATCTTGTCCACATCTGATGTCAGCTAGTTTTAAATAACAAGCAGAACAACTTCTGAATGCTGGCTACCCCTCTCACGTACAGGTTTCTGTCGTGGTAAATCTGGTAAAGAAGCTTCAGTTCTTGCAGCAAGCCCTCCATCTCGTAAAGCCAGTAAGGGGTCAGAAGCTTGCCGGAAAGCTCCCACAGCTTGAATAATCTATCAGATACTTCTATCATGCGGCGAGCACTACATAGGACAAACTGGCCGTTGTATTAAATGACCGGATCCATGAACACGCTTGTAACATAAGAAAGCATCACGATGGTTTTTTGACACTGAATTGCAGCATGTGTGGCTGCAAACCACTTTTTCATGGTAAGGTGATTCTAGGTAAAAACAAAAATAAAGTGACAAGGGAGATTAATGAAGCAGAGAGCATTAGTAGATTAGGGCTGAACTGCGTCAGCACGCCTTCTCTCTGTCTTTGTGAAAAAGAATTGTCCTTCCTGAGACCATAAGTTTCTCGCGCTTGGCAATTGAGGGTTTTTCCTCTGTTTTGTCAATTTTTTTGCATTTCGTGAGCATATATATGTACGCTCCTCGAAATAAAATTTTGTTGGAAGTAAGCGCTCCCCTCTGTCCCTTCCCTTGTCCTGTGTCTCTCATATTTCACGTGCTACGTCATTATTATGAAGATGTCTTTATTATAAAGATGAAGGGGTTCGACTGTATGCCGTGCAGCCTAGCAGAAGAGCTTTGAAGCTGGATTACGGAATGAATAACTTTGCCATTTGTGCTAATGTAGCCTGACATTACCATTCCTGCTCTGAGTAGTACTAAAAGTTAGAGTATGTATATTATTATATACTGCTCCGCTCAATTCCGTGCTGCTTACACGTAAAAGGAGTTTAACAGTGAGAAGTGGCACTGCCTTCGCAGCCACCAGTTGACCATGTCGAACCGCCGTGCATGCACACAGAGTGCACCTATGCACAGTAATCCATTACACCTGAACGCAAAACTGCTCTCACATTCAGTGTTTGAAGCATGTGTTATAACGATTGTATATGAGTTCATATTCAACGCATGTAAAAAAAGTTATAATTACGAATGTTTCACGGCGTATGCCATGTTATCATTCCATGATTAGACACCCAGATCCATAAGCTTTCTGCTGTGCTAAATAAAATAGGCACTGTAAAAATTAATTGTCGGTTCATCTAAATTTGTAGCCTGCTGCAATGATGCCTCCATCAGTCTGCTAAAACAAATGGGAGGACACTCAAGTGCCAAAAGCAGAATGTTCACAGAACCTGTAAATGAAAAACCAGCTCGTACAACCACTGATGACTCACCGAACACACTGGCGATGGCTGTCTGAATCCAGTGAATGAGCTCGGAGAAGGCATGCTATCGTCCTCTGGAATTTCAGCAATTTGGTCCTCTCTAGGCATGGATCGAGGTGAAGCATCATTTACAGGCAGACCATGTGGTGAGTCCTCTGACACGGAACTGGTTGGTGCGTCAGGCAAGCCTTTGGTTGCTGGCTCTCCAGTCTTGGCACTGGTAGGCATTAATGGAAGTGAAAAGAAAAGCTTGGAAAATGTTTCAATGGCATGAGTAGCTTGAAAAGCAAGTTATAGTAATAATTTACTGTTCTGGTCCCACACTTTTCTTAATGTGGTAATGGAAACTCACGATACTTCTCGTTAGGTTTGTGCATAGCTACAAAGGCTGAATGCCTTGAGCCTCATGCCAATCTATTTCTGTCCCTGTCTTTGTCCTTTGGCATTTGCAAACAATGCGACCGATGTGAGAAACAACCATAGAGATAAAAGTGGTATGCTTGTGTGAACGAAAATGAGTATATAAAAAAATGTTTGAAAGTGCCTAACGTTATCATTCTAAGTACAAAATGAGCAAGGAAATGAAGCACAGTCCAAAATATGTTAAATTTTATAACACTACCCCCAAATGTGGGGCACCATTGTTACCTTTGCTTCATGCTGCAACTTTCTATGCACCTTTGAAAAGCAATCCAAAGCTACTTATTATCGCTTACTACAAAGTTGCCTATATGCCTATATTTTCTTTTAGTGTTTCCTCCAATACTTGGTCAAATAATGACTGATTCTGATGAAGCTATTGATTCTTGACAAGAACTCCTGACTTTCTGCAAGGGAAACGTTCACTTAGCCGATGGCACCGTGGTGCGGGAGCAAACAAAACGAATTGGCGTGCTCTATGCAGCAGCCCGCCCATAAGCGCAGCCGTGACAGGTTGTTAGCAGTGCTTCGCAATGTCGCATATGAATTGCAGTGTCGTAAACTGTTCCAATAACTACGTACTTGGAACAAAGTTTTTCAGTTTTCCATCTTTACTACACTTAGAAACCAGAGAAACGCTGGGTTACTGTATGCCGCATGAAGCAGGCAAGTTTATGAAGTACATGCTGCAGCTATTGTTGGCTCTGAATTTACTCGCCAAGCAAGTTTACTGATACTTTAACAGTTCTGAAATAACTGAGGGGCAGCCGGCAAAGTGATCTCGAGTCTAAAGTATACAATTCGCTGGCAGAAAATCCTCAACAGATGCAGCAATTCTCCATCGTACACTCCTGCTGCTTCTCCACCGTATCACAGTTTAGTGGCACAGTTTGTAAACAGTAACAGTAAGGAAAAAGTCGTGCATGCCAGGCAAAATACATTGCAAACGGCAATAACTTTAAATTTTATTCGCCGTGCACTGCTGCTGCTTTTAATTAACAGCATGCTAGGGAAGTTGTGCCATGCTGCTCTATTGTGCTAATTGACAGTTTCCAGAGCACTGAAATAATCCATTGGGATCTGTACAAACATCAACAGCTACCAACAAGCATCAAACGTGTCCTGTGCCACTTTTTAACTAATTATTGAATAAAAAAGGTATCGGAGTTAATGCCTCACAAATCAGCTGCAGCCAAAATTTTTCGTATACATCAAAAACAAGAGGAGCCGCAGGGGTTCCTCGCATACTTCAGGCTCTTTCTTTCTTCTCTCATCCTGACATGTGCACTGGAAGCTACACAATGAGGGATGACATGGGAGAAAAAAAGTTTTTTCAGAGCCCATCATGAAATCCGATCACTCTCACGCATTGCGATTCCTTCATGAGCTACCGTTAATACTGCGTATTTTAGCACACATTAAAGCACATCCCATGGAAAGAAGCACAACGCATCGAAATGCCATTCTTTATTTACATCATCTATCAGCCACTAGCAGCAGTCTGTTCACTGATGTCAGAAAAAAGACATCAGAAGTTCCAAAGCGAGTGAGAAGCAAGCCATTGCATGCAGAGACCTTGCTTCAGAATTTGGCATCATCATGCTCTGTAAGCACTGTGCCATGAATGACTACAAAATTTAGCTTTACTGTTTACAGCACCAGCTGGTGTTTCAGAATGCATTGTTTTAAGCCCTAGGAATGATCTGTGGCCCTCCTGAATATTCTAAGACTTTTCGGGCATTCCCACATAAAATTAAGCAATATTTCTTTGACTTAGGAAGTAACAAGTCTTAAAAGGTGCTTTCTGATAATCTGTTTCATCAGATCATCATTAGCAAGAAAAAGGAAAGAAAAGAAATAATAACCAGTATATCCAAACCCGCAATTTAGTTTTAGTTTTGTTCTCCTTCAGTCTTGTTTACAGGAACCCTCAAACAGTTTTGACGATTTTGTACAAACGCATTTAGCCAGTAAACCAATCCTAAAGGTCACTTACAGAGTGATTCGAGCTCGCTGCGTAAAATGTGTAATTTGTTACAAGCTTCAAAGCTGCGAATCACTGCAGATCACTGTGGCTCAGCCAAACGCATTTTAATTGCCCATTCACAGTACAACATCCTCGGGTAGTGTAATGTCACCAAAGCTGCTCATCTGACTGGGTGTGGAATGCACGCGAGTACAGTCGGTTGGTATAATAGTGGCACCTGTCGGAGTAGATACCAACCTGTCAGCGTGCAATCTCGGAGGTGGGCAAAACTCAAATCGTTGAGAGCGCTCAGGAAAGCTCTGCGATCAGCAGAAATGCCAGCGTGTCACATGAGTTGAAGAGGCAAGGCAGGGGTGAGAAGGAAGATATAAAATAATCGTCCCTATTGGCCTTGATACACGGCGTGTCACTAAACTTGTGGTGTAAATGGTTCAATGATGTCCTAGCCTAAACGCTGACAAACTTCAAAAAAGCTTTTCTGGGTCGTGTGTTTACACTAGGGTGACACAACACCGATTTTGGCCTGCTAACTGTCTTTGAAAGCGTCTTTGTCGTGTCGGTGTCCTATCTACGCCTTGCCATGGTGAGAGCCTTTCGTCTCTATTCACAAAGAAGGCGCACGCAGCGACACCGACTGAACTTGCACAAAGAAATTGAACCAGGGCACCACCTGCTCAACTCGTTTCCTCATTTGCAGCCATCCTCCCTCCTCTGCCATTGTCCCTCTCGGGCACAGCCCCTGCCATCCTCCCAGAGGATGAGGGTGGAGACAGACAAAGGAGAAGCAGAGAAAAGAGATCTGTGGGGTACGCAAGATGACTGTAAGACGCTTCAGGGGTGTCATGTGGTGTCGTCTTATCTCACCCCTCCCAAGAGCTCCCCATTCGTCACTCAAAGCAAAAACAACCACATGGGCAAATTTTCGCTTGGCCACAGATTTCCCGACGACCTGCTGATGACAAGTCGTCCAATGCATTTCGCAGTTTTCCGTCTGCCATCACGTTGTACTACGATGACATACTGTCTTTGGAGGCATCGTCGTTGGTTAAGTGCAACCAGAAGGTCCAGTGACATCATCAGCAGGCGACTCATCGACCGACTGTCTGCGTCCGCCTCGTGTCTTTGTCAGTGTCATGTTGTTCTAGAGTAAATGCACCATTAAAAAACACTAAAGTAAAACACTGAATTGGTTTAGATTGATCAGTGTTCTCCGAAAACTCTAACATCCTTATACTTACCATCATAAGTTCATTATCATAGGAAAAAATCAAGGTAAAATTACCATTTGTAAATTTCGTGCCAAAATCTGTATGCGTCACATTACAAATTTCAAAGTGTACTTGTCGGATTTGCCAACATTGGCTCAAAGAAATTCCCAAAACTTGGTATATCGTGTCTCTGGCCCCATCAGCAGCGAATGTGCTTTCATCTTATGTATAATGAGCTATGTAGGCCTTAGTAAACCATCAAAATTTATGATGTCATGGCATTTGGTGCAGGAATCTCAAGGTGGTGTCACCCGCATTTTCTCACTTGCCAAGAGGCTTCTTGCGGCGAGCGTGGCGATTTTTAAGCTGTGAAAGGGTAATTTACTAATAACAACAAAAATATTTTCTTCTTGGGTGACCCTTAAAGTAGTTCATGTGTAGTAAACACGATCTGTTAAAGAACTTTTCACTGAAAGTTTGTTTGTTAAAAAGTACATTGATTGGTGCTGAGTGACACTCCCACATTTAATTCACATATATACCCAATAAAGTGGATGGGGGGATAGCCACCATGGTAGCTCAGTTGGTAGAGCATCAAATGCATTATTCGAAGGTCGCGGGTTCAGTTCTTGCCCACGGCAATTTACCTTTTCGTTCACTTTTCTGTCTTCACATTTACATTGCAATTAGGTCTAATAACTTCCCTTAAACTTTACTTGCATCATTGTCTATTAGGTCTCATTAATATTGTGTCTAACAAGAAAAAACGAGCCCTTAAGTATACACTTCCTTCATTCATTCATTAACAAGAGTTTCATTCTGGCAGACTTGATGCCTTTAGGTAGTATACGAGAAATTATTGGTCAGATGCCAGCGCACAATACGTTCCCGTGCTACGCGACGCCAAACAGGCTGATAAAGAGTGTTCCACACTCGCACAATAGCTGCTGGTGGAGCTGACTGACACTCCCATGTTTAGTTCACATATATACAGTTAAACCTACTCGTAACGAAATTGAATAACTACAAGAAAAAAGAATTTCGTTAAAAGAATTTCGTTAAATGCAAGTTTGGTACCAAAATTCGAAAAATAAACGCACAATTTGAACAAAACCGGAATTGGATGTAGAGCTAGCCGAAAACAGTTATTTAGCTGTAAAAAAACTGCGTTATTATTGTGATAGCAACTATATGGACACTCTCGGCGGGTTTTTGCCATGGCCGCCATGTCCCATAAAAAGTCCAAATGGATAACATGCCCCCGTGCATTGTAACTTTTATGAGTAAGTTAGAACGCATGAACGCTGTTGAAGCAGTGATCAAATCAGCGGGCTATTCCTATTGCCAGGAAGGTGCATACGATAACATCCCTTGGCATGTTAGAGCTCCCGTCGAATGCTCAAACAGAAGGAAACCAGCCGTCTTGAACGAGCATGGAAAAAACGCGCAAGAAGAGAGGGCGGGGTGGGGGGGGGGGGGGGGTCGCTCGAGTAGCAACGGTGAACTTTGATTTTAAGGGCGCGGGTCGCGATTGCTGGCACGCATGCTATATCGGCAGGCTTCATTGCACTTTCAACGAGAAGAAACTGTCAAAAGATAACTTCTCCCTGGAGCGGCTGTATTTGCTTACACGAACATTTAGCAGGAGTTTGGTGATAGTCGATCTAAAAGTTGGCTGCCAGCCATACTTCATATAACATTACAATTTGTTGCTATCACATTCATGCATTGCATTCAACATGCCATCGTCTTGTTGCCCGAGCTAATCCCGAAGGCTATGGTCCTGCGAACTCATCGCGCAGCGCAAGACAGAAACGCGCCACGAGTCAACCTCCTAAGATCTGCCATTCTCACCGTGGTCTCAGAGTTTCTACCAGTGCCTGATCTGACATCTCCTCGGTAGTAACAAAAAAAAGCAATGCTGAACGTCGTCAGGGGCCACACCATGCGTGCAAACGATGCAAGCGCGCACAGCATCGAAAACAACGGGCGAACGACACAGACACCGCAGGATACTATTTGGTAAAGTGATCTACATGTGAAGCGCGGCCTTACATATGTGGCGCTAACTAAAAGTATGGCACTGCCAATGCAAAAGTAGTTGTTTTTTTTTGTTTGGGAGGGGGGGAGGGTGGGCACATCTGTGCATGTGTCTGCGGCAGCTCGTGGGGTGCAGGCCCTGCCTGCCCGCCTCGCGCACGCCTATACACAATAACGAGCGAGCCAGTTGGTAGAGAATCGTTAGTTGGTAGAGCATCGTGAGTTGGTAGAGTCAGTTGGTAGAGCATCGAACGCGTTATTAGAAGGTTGCACATTAGGCTCCTGCCCACAGCAAGTAATTTCTTCGTCCACTTTTCTTTCTTCACATTTACATTACAATTAGGTCTAACATACACTTGCTTCCTATATATATATATATATATATATATATATATATATATATATATATATATTATATATATATATATATATATATATATATATATATATATATATATATTTGAAGTAAAAACTGTGGGAGGGCCTCCTATCAGAAGTGACCAAAAATAATTAGAAAGCACAGGAAATAAATTTAATACCCTTTCACAATACAGCTAATACAGGAAGCTAGCCCAAAAAACTTTTGAGATGTACAACTGAACATGCTATTCTTTTTAGTAGCTTCCATAACGTTTCCAATGCTATTTTTTCCCATTTTTGTTGTTTTGAAGGCAACCAGAACAACACAATGGAAAATGTGACTCAGTGTACTCCAGAACAATACACCAAAACGGCCATGAGCAGCAAAAGCTAAATATGAACACTTTTTTCCGAAGTAACATTTTGCGATTTCGCCCACAATAGCTTTTACAGCTTTCAGATATAAAAAATGGACTCTACAAGGCAAGTGGATGCAAGCACAAAAAAAAAGTGAAGCTAAGCTAAATATAATGTCACTGATGTGCTTAAACTTAAATCAGCAGTGTCCTTATTAACACAATTGTCGCAAGCAGCTGTGATAATCTAAATATAGTTCCCTGGGCAATTATCTAAATGGTGACATCAAGATTACACTAATCTTCAAAAAATATTTATGTTCAATATAATAATGAGAACCTTTCCCACATGATATGATGCACCAATATAGAGTAAGCTCTCAGTATATAGAAATCTTTTAGAACTGCTGCTTAAGTGGAACAGCTGCTTCTAATGATTGGTTCTCTACCCAAAGGGACTCCTGTTAAGTGGAGGATATTTTTCTGAACTCTTCATGCTCCACTTAAGGAAAGTCTACTTCAAAAAAAATGCATGAAATTAGAAAGCGACTCACTTTTTGAGCTGGCTTGGCATGGAGACACGAGCAGACTCCAAGTTGCGCACCTGGCCACTACGAACACTGCACATAGCATACTAGGAGTTCATCAACTAATAAACATGAACATGATCAAGAAAACAAAACAGTTTGTTCTTAACATGGAATTAGTTATATACTGCAAGCATACATCCCAGCTTGCCTATCACAGTGATGCTACTGGCTTAGGCTGCTTTGGAGAAGCTTTTGGAGCAGCCGAAAATGCGATTTGGAGCAGCAAAACTGGCTTTCGGAGAAGATATTGCTAAAATCAATTTTAAGACACATACTGTGTTCATGAAGAAATCCCTGAAGAGGGGGTTGTGTCAACCCGACATACCAACAAAAGTACCCGTCGTCCTAAGAATAGAAGTGTTCTGTTCTAGCCTTGAGAAAGACAAGTTCGCTTGTCAGAAAATCAGCCGACACAATCTTTCTTTACAGATTTTTTCATCACAAGCTTCCAGCTACCCTTTTTGCCATTTTTTGGATACTGTGTTCATGACACACGAATGATAAGATTGCAATATGGTGCACGTTATTCAAGCAAAATAGAGTAAAAAATAAATAATATCACCGACAAATAATCAGACCATATTTAGTAGACAAAGCCAATAATAACATTTAAAACCATACCATTTCATTATAATGTGACTGAAGATAAGCTGACTGCTGATTTTTCGGACGGGAGATTTTTCAGACATACTTGCAAATTCAGATGATTTTGCAACAGCATCACAAGCGCTGTGGACGTCTTTGCATAAGAACGTCTGAAACTCTTCGGAGTCCGATTTTGTGGGCTTTCAGCCAGCATTCCAGGTTTGAAACAGCATTGCTTGAAGTCCCTACCTCTGCTAGGTTTATTACCTCGTAGGCTTAAACGAGCGCTTTTAAAAGTCAATCGACATCACAGTAATGTCAGAAAGTCGGCTTTGCCGCAATGCGTGAGTGCTATAGGGTGAAGCAGGTAAAAAAAAAAAATTGAAGGGGCTAGTATCATTGCACATTGAGGTGATGTCTAATGGATAAGCACCGGAAATGCTCGGAGGTGTGAAGGCAGAAATGCGACAAACACGCCAGCAAGACTTAATCACTTTATGATAAGCATCTTCAGCTAACTGCATGTTACTGTACATGGCGCAGTCGTCGGCATACTGCACGCTTTCTCGTGCGCGCCGCCGTCCACATTGCCTTTCTGTGCGAATCGGCTATGTGCCCCGCACAGGCACGGTGCCTTCATGACAGAAGCAGCTCACCATCGCCGTGCCTGTGTGCGATCAGTAATAGAGTGGGCACCAAGAACACATTTTCATGACTAACACGTGTGTACGAAAACGCCCCCATAAGAACGGCGTCAGCTGCGTTTGCAATGTGCTGCACACAACTAATGCCACACGACACCGAAAATGTCGCCGGAGATTATCGTGCAGTGGCTCATCTTCTGAGTGCGCACAAGCATCGCAGAGATCCTGACAAGTATTCCTCTATTCTGCCACACCCTTTATGTTCGGCGCCATCGTTTCCATTTGTTCCATGCGATAAATCCGCAACTTATTCCGCGCTTTCCTGGTATCGGCGGCGCTCATCACGGGTCACATACGCGTATTTGCAAATGAACGTCGGCAGGTCCTGAATGTAATTACGACACTCGGCGTGCACCGAAATGCCTGATAAGTGTACTCTAGGAGACATTGAAGCTATTTCAGACGAGACTGTGGCGATTTGATTACTTCAGCGGAATAAAAAGGCATGAATATTTTTGGGACAATTTCACGGTCTCTAGAAAGTAAAAAATATTGGGAATTAACTGCGTCCCAACAGCGACATTTGACCCATTTCATCTTGGCTTGGCTGTGATTGCGTCTTACGCAGGTGCACAGCAATGTTATCTTCAACGGGAGAACCTCAAGTCGTTTCGTTTATGAAATTCGCATCGCGCCCTTTGGCGCAGGTTGGGTGAAGACACGCCAAATTTTGAAGAAATGTAGCAGCATGTAGCAGCCAGGTTATTTTGGGGCAATCAGCGCGGCGGTAGCATCACTGCCATCATTTTATAGCACAGAATCGTGGTATGATAAAAAGAAGCAATGCATAGTAAGCAAATAGTTCCCACTACTTTGTAGCAACCAGATGCAACATGCTTTGCACAATTTAACAAATAAAAGAGCATATGAGACACAATACTCAGAGCCTAAGTTTTGATATGGAGCAGAAAAGACAAGGCAGATCAACTTTACCATACTAGTATAATTAGGAGAGTCTTAAATGAGGTTTTGTGTTTATATCAGCAATTTGCTGTGCGGTTATGCACTGCCTGCCTAATAGTATCCTCATCAAACTTACAATTCCTTTGCAAGAACACCACCACAGTGAATTTCTAGCATCTACAATGTTATGTTTAGCAATCATAGAGCATTGTAAGCTGCCTATAACATACTTATGTACCACAGCAAGAATGATATCCTACACTCTTTGAGAGCACTTATTACTACCCAGAACATAACAGCCAACACTGCCATACTCAGTATGTAGATTTCTAAGAGGCCTCACCACCACTCTATAGCATACTCCAAGGACTTGAATGAAGAAGGCCTTCCTCGCAGGAATGACTGCATGTTTTGAAGTGCTTCCAGGGCAGTGCCTGCAGACAACGTAAAAGATTCATAAAATAACATGAATAATATGCTTCCAAATTTCTGAACAAAATGACACGCTTGGAAAAATTGCACGTGCAACTAGACAAATAAGGTAAAAGGGAATGCGCAATGAGTTCACGGCAAACAATGATCTCAATGTAAATACATAATTACTGTAACCGCAAGCAATTAGAGAAAAGTATGTGCATATGTCATAGCTCTGGCATGTTTTTCACTGATGACCAGTGGGACACTGACCTTCTACAACATCAATGACGATGAGGCCAATCAAGTTGGGGATGACACCCTTGTAGGCAGCATGAACAGCTACTGCTCCACCCATGCTGCATGACAACCCACAAGCATGTCAGCTATGTCATCATCACCTATTGCTCATGCTAGTTGAACAACACTACACAGCTTTTTGTACCATTGGTGTACCAAACTACCAATGGAAACATATGTGCATTCTTGTCAATTTCACATGCAATAACCACATCGCAAACTAAATTTATGACAATACATTAAAAAGCCTCATGTGTACATTATGATACCGAAAAAAAAAGGAGAAAGAAAACAGAGTAACAGCAGATTTCAACACAGCTAGTTCCATGCAGTCAGTCAGTTTGATCTCAAGAGAGACACCAATGCTGCCATGTAGCAAAGGGATGCGCAGCATCCATGCTGCATGCATTTTTTTATCTAGGTATGAACTGAAGTAAAGCACAATGCTATAAAATTATCACTGCATGAAAATACTTGTAAAACATCTTTTATCATTCATGTGCCACTGCAGAAACATGAAAAGTACATTAACCATTTGGGAACTGCCGGTGGGCAGCACACGCTGCTGAACAGTTTCGGGCCACAAAGATTAAACATAATGACAGAAATATTTCACTACCTGTGTCCAATAAGAACCACTGGCGGTTGATGAGACTCATCCGGGTACATTGCGTTGTAAACGTTGCCTACATCACTGTAAAAGCACAAAATTCTTGCGTTATTTCCAAGATACTCTTGTGTAAGTGCAGCATGTATAGCTCCTACAGCTAACAAGATGCTGCAGAGACTTAACCTACTTGGAAAGTGTGTCTGCAGACAGGTCCATTTCTTCAGATGTTACTGTTTCACCTGGAAATAAAAATTTCAGTAATATCATCTTAAAGAGACACTAAAGGCAAACAACAATTTGGGCTAGTGTGAGGGGTCAATGTTTCACAATGTCTATAGTGACACTATTACGCACACTATCGCTTTACAAATTGAGAAACTAAAAGCACCATCAGTGAGCTTGTGTATTTCCCCTTCAATGATGCAAAAAAAGAGAGCTGCTTGGTAATAACGACTAGTTTTACCATAGAAACCTGACACAGATAGTCCAAAAGTTCCGTTTTCACGAGCCTGTGCTCTGCTAGTGTAGTCATGCAAAAAAAACGCAGCACTAGGTTTTGTGTAGTAAAGGGCAGGCAAGGCTTCTTGAGGCAGGCAGTTCAAAGACTGATACTAGTATGTAGACCACTAAAACATTATTTCCTTTTCAACTAAGAATTTCCTTAGCATAAAACAAACAAAACGATATTTTTGGCATGCTATTTCAGCAATCCACGCCGACTATTTGTCTTTAGTATCCCTTTAAAAGGGTACTGACAAAAATTTTGACTCGATGTTTTCTTGTGGCAATATGTTGCTGGGGGCCTGTTAGCCATAACACAGCACATCCTTTGCTACAGTGCACCACAGATAATTATTTACAGGCTCCTCATTACGGACCAGTTTCAGTTTGAGACAGCTCCAGAAACAATTGCACAGTGCTAGACCACATCAGCACACACAACTGCGACGCACTTCTTCGCGGTTCGCATGAAAAAGACCTTCCGAACAAGAAACCAGACAGCAGTGCCACCAAACACAAAACTTTCAACGCGATCACCGCGGCTATGGACTCGTGAGCAGGCATGAAGAAGTATAGACTGCTGGAACAAGCGTGGCAAAAAAAAAAAATGGCGGCTACAACGTCATCATAACTTGTTTTATTGACTGCAGTGCGGTGACAAGAGGGAAGTAAGGGAGTTATCAAGGGGTCACTTTTGATGGTGTTAATACCTTCAAAATTCCTGTAAAGTACCTTCCAAGCTATGTTCACTGTTCATACTTTGAAGATGATATATGCACGTTCATGAGAATCGATTCTGCAGGCTATCTCAACAGCAAAATTTTGCGTCAGTTCCCCTTTAATAATAATAATAATAATAATAATAATAATAATAATAATAATAATAATAATAATAATAATAATAATAATAATAGGGTTCTCCTAAACAATATTTTTCCTACAATACTATTTTTTCCTAAACTACATTCCTAAACTACAATATTATTATGCAATGGCATTGTAGAAGGCTCCAGAAATTTGACCATCTGGTGTTCTTTCACATGCACTGACATTGCACAACACATGGGCATCTACCATTTCGCCATAAATCGAAATGCAAAGGCCGTGGCCGGTACCCTTCTAAGTAAAGAAGGTATTAAACAGAACCCGCCTAAATATCTAAACACTGCACTACACAACTCAGTACTAGCAGGTGAAATTAAGCTATGTGCCAATGCTGTTTCAAACTTATTTCCTGGGGACAGCACGCTATGCAGGCTATGGGCCACCTATCCCTTAACCCAATGTGCATCTGCATTTCTGCATTTTCTGCATTTTTCTGCAGAAAAATTTATCTCCCACATCATTTTTGCACAACACTAAGCGAGTGCCACCCTACCCGCATCTTTGTAAGCTCGTGAATAACTGTTTCCTGTCAAAAGGTGGTGGTTCCCAGTCATCTCAAGTTTTTGTAAAATTGTGCTGTAAGTCGACAGACAAATGCATTGAAGCACAATCCTCTGCGAAATTAGTAATTTCTTTGCCAATTCTAATTTGGTATAGTTGTGCATGATAAATATTTTTCTTGATATATACTTCTAGAAAAGTGGACAAACACTCAGGTATATCATCAGAGCTTGAACACTTGTACTGAAAGTAAAATGACAGCAAAATAGACAAAAGGTTGTTGGTGTATGCACTAAAATGAGCTTTACAGAAACAGACTGTAAGATTATAAAAGACAACACTGGAGGTGCTGCTACGCCGCTGAAACTAAGGTCTGTATAATGATCCTCCAAACAACTCAAGCAGTACTCCTCTGCACCACTTGTTTGAGCCATTTCAGCCCAAATAATAGGTAATGTGGTCACAAGATGGTGCCATTATGAGTCAATGGGACAAGTGTTTGTTAACCATTGAAAACACCGTACCAAGCAAGCAGGACACATTTGTCCCGCCTTTTTTTTTTTTCCCGAAATGAATGAATGCTTGTTCGCTTCACTTCCTTCCAATGTTTACAACAGTGTCATTGCGAGTGAGGCCTCAAAACTGCAACATTGAACTATTATTACAGGAATGTACGAAGCTTAATTTACCGTGGCCTCGAATGTCAAGAGCGGCTACCTGGCATTCCACGATTTGACAAACTTCATTCTGTAACAAAGAAGAATTACTTATTCAATCATTTAGACAGCCACAGCTTCACTGATATGCTCAATTGATATTTTGCAAATTAATGAGTGCAAAGTCAACTGACTGCGAATAAAGCCCACGTGAGGCCACTGTAGCCACCTCCATGGAGGAGGAGAAGGAGAGGTCCTTGGGATCCTTTCATGTACACCCTAAAAGTCTTCATCATGTCATGTCAAGGAATATAGACACAGATTTGAAATCACATCCTGCATCAGCACTATACACAACGTATACTAGAACACCACTGGTTGGGCATGTGATATGTTAGGGCAGCGATTTTCGAATGGGGGTTCCACAGAATTCCCTGGTTCTTCATCTGCTAGTGTTTGCAGTGACATTGTGTTCCTAGAGGAAAGTACCCTTTAGGCCAGTGGTTCTCAAATAGGGGTAACCCAGGAGTTCCGCAGAACTCCATTTGAGATACATTGTGTTCATATGGGAGGTACCATTATGCTAGGGCACCCCATTGCCAGAAAGTGGTCAAAACCTTTTGTTGTTTCTCCTAAACTGGCTTTAGAGAACATATACCACTATCGTTTATCTCCAGTTGATACAAAAACAGGAAGTGCAAACAACTACAAATTCAAGTAATATGTAAACTCAGAAAGGAGCTCAGACTCCAATTCTTATGGAGGATGTTGTTAGAGTGGTCGATTTTCTGGAAAATGATATATGCCATCTCCCAACTCTTCTCAAAGTAGGTAAAACATAGCTGAGAGGAAACAGTGGACAAAAGCTGAGATGGATTGACTGATCTATCCATTACCTGGTGGCTAATTGATTGATTGGTTGATTAGTTACATGATGTTCTGTCACCAAGTCCAAAAGAAAAGGCTGCAAAACCTTTGTCTTAGTTAATTCATGGAGCTTTTGATGGGTGAATGAATTGTTTAGGAATTTAAATGGTAAGCTATCACTGTTAAACCATGAACATCAATCAGGGAATGAAAATTACTCCCCATTTGCTCATTCAAATTTTTTGCTAATTAAGCCCTAAATCTCTCAGTTTATATTTACCGATTCTTCCACTTTCTGAAATAACTTAGAACTATATTTTTACAATCTCCCACTTCATGAAAATGTACTGCATCACACATGCTAATATTTATAGAGAAAAACTGCAGCGCATTTGGAGAGATCTTTTCCTAGAACAAGGGAGTACAGAAAGAGTTCAAGCTTTGCATTAATAGCATTTTATTACTTCAATATAGGCTCCCAGTACAATAAATGAGTGCACGTACTATGTGATGACATGTGTGCTTTAAAAATCTTTCTATTCCAGAATTGCTGATCTGGTGGTTAGGCAAACAAATTTAAGCGAAGAACGAGAAGTACCTGCCAGAACGACATTTTACATTGGCACATAATATGCCTCATCAGCCAGGTCACAGGCCTCAACTATTCCTTGACTGGAACCCCCCCCCCCCCCCTATCTTTTTTTCTTCTTCTTCTCTCTGAAATGAAATGAGATTTATGTGAAAGCAAATTTCAGGCAAAGGACTGGATTTGAGGGTACTTTAACAAGCTCCACACTACTCCAGAAGTTTTTATTCCTGCACCCCATATCGCAGTTCGCATATTTTCATGCACCAATCAATTGCAGAATCTAGGTGCTCGGTAACGAGTATTTTTACATTTCGATCGCGTGTCATTGATTATTGCCACAGACATTCATTTTCTTTTCCTCAGAGATCCTATAAAATTCTAGTCAGCGATAGTCTGTGTCACCTAAATGCATAACAAAAAGCATCATAGCTGATATATATTTATAACAGGAAGAACACGGTTTATTTTTCCATACAAAACAAAGAATTGAAATGTGTCTGGTCAATACGCTTATAGTTGCATCAGACAAAAATGCTACGCTGTGCCAGTGCTAGTCACAGTCACCTCTGGTAAATATTCTGATAAATGATGAATACGGCCACACGTAACGAAAAAAAAAAAGGAACATTGACGCACCAGAATACACATGCACTAACAAAGGCTTATTTTCCAACTCAATGCATACGCAAACAGAGCTTGTCACAGGCACCAACCATCCGGCCCCCTTATCAAAGTGCTATGGGGCACCTAGCACTACCGGGCACCTTACACAACGCAAATCTGTGTGCACTACTGAGCAACGCTTGCTTTCTAGAGAGACCGCGCACGCGAAAATCATCGTACTACTTTTCTGAGAGCACGCTCCGCAGGCGAGCAGCTGCGTGTCCAGCGTTCCGTTCCGAATTATTCTGAGAGTGCCTGTACAGCAAGACCTTGTTGTAATTAAGTTGACAGGGGAGCTCCTTCTTACTTCATTTATTGAAGTACTTCCATTAACCCTTTCACAGCCTTCGACCAGTATGGTCCTGAGCACAAAATGACCGATAGTAACCGATAGTCCCACATGAAACCAATTAAGATTATACTCTTCATACTTCTGTTTCCTGCTGCTATATGGTCACCCTTGCCCATGCTAAGACGTTTGTGTCTAAGCTTTCATTTTTCAGTGTATTTACAAGAGATGAAGCCACCTTAGAGTTATCTTTTTGTACATTATTAGTGAAAGAAGGAAAGCCAGTTAAATCGAGAGAATCGTATCATTTTATTCAGAAAAACAAAGCTCTACCAATTCAGCATAAAAAGCTTCCGGTGATGTTGGCACGTTTTTGTTCTTTTCTTTCGGTCACGAATGTAAGGATTAAACTATTTTAAGCCCTTACAACCGGCACTGACTTGATACACACACAGTTACAGTTTAAAAAAATCAATTATTGAATTGGACAGGCATTATTTGGTTGTTGATGTATGTTGGCAGGTTGCTGTCTTACTTGCATGGATTCCTCAATTTGGTTAGTATAACTTCAAATAGTGCGATTCAAGCTACTGCACCCATTTAAAGGCCATACATAGGAAAGGTCAGTTAGGATATTATTGTATCGTGTAAAATTCTCAATAAAGCCAAATTTAAGAATGCCAAGAAGAACGTATTGTACTGCACTATAAGGGATCAATTGGGAATCTCTGTAGGATAGTCATCACAAATAAGTTGCTTAGGAATACAATATAAGGCATTAATTCAGTTGTGTGGTGTTGTGTGTGGTGTGTGTGGTTTGTGTGTGGTGTTGTGTGTTGTGTGTGTGTGTGGGTGTGTTGTGTGTGTTGTGTGTGTTGTGTGTGTGTGTGTGTGTGGTGTGTGTGTGTGTGTGTGTGTGTGTGTGTGTGTGTGTGTGTGTGTGTGTGTGTGTGTGTGGTGTGTGTGTGTGGTGTGTGTGTCCGGGCTTCGGGTGTTACTTTAAACCTGGTTCGTCACAGCATTACCGGCTGAAAAACAAATACCAAGAAGGATACATCACTGTCAGATGTTCTGACCCACAGCGCTTCGGAAAAGTAGTCGCGCCAGGATAACGGCGTATAGTCTCTCCGAAGCATTCCAGACTTTCCTCTACCCCTATACGAAAGAAAGAATAAAACGTTCGATCATTGCCTGAATTTCTCGGCAAATCAGCAACTCTTCATTGGCGCAGGGCACCCATAGCCCCTACCTTTCATGCGCGCGGTACAAGACCTGAAAATAATAAGGCTAGAGTACTTATACAGACCTGGAGAACGGCTTCGGTCGCATGGGAGGCAACCTATTCTTCAGCACTTGCTTTTGCAGGGACGACATGAGCAGTACGTCGGCTCCACAGCGCGAAGTCCCCAAACTCTTGAACGACTCAAATCTTTGTCATGGCAAGCACGAACAAGATGCAGAACAAGTTAAGCAGCATGGAGCACTGGACGGCTTAGCGTATAAACTGAGCGGTCAAATCATCAGTTGAACTGTCATGATTGCTGGTATATTACAGGCTAATGCGGTAAAGAAGCCTTTCAGTCCCCACAAAGTCGCTACTGGCAGTCGCCATCAGTTACGAGGATTCAGCCACAGCCGCAGCACGACGGTTTCGGCAGTTCCGGCTAGATTGGTTTCGGTTCCAGGCTTCTGCCTATTATCCGGCTCGTGCCTCAGCCACAGTACAGTGTACTAGTACACTCTAGCCACAGTCAACGTTTTTACATCAGGTTAATCCTAATTTTAGACCTAATCTAAAAACGTTGGCCACAGAGGACGAAATAGGTTTAAGATATTTTATACCTTGACTTGGGCGCCTTCGCGAAAGAAACTTACATATTGTTTATATGCCAAATATAGTATACCTTGCATGGAGGAAGGAATAAACTGTTTTGAAACAAGCACAGAACACTGATTGTTGCTGTGATGGATCGAACCACAGACTTCTATTAAACCAGCAGAGCTACTTCACCTGCAATTGAGTGAGGCGCGCACCGCCCTGTCCTGCTAGTACGTCGTTGGTAAAAGAATGAACTCGCTCCACAAAATGAACTAATTAGTTTTGTCCGCTAAAGGCCATGAAATGAAAATCGAGCGGTGATTGAGCATACAGCGTCATGAACAGCAATAAGCGCTGTGAACAGCCAAACTAGATCACAAAGTTTGACCAATTTGTCTGCCCCTCTGCAAAAAAAAAAAAAAAAAAAGTTAAATTTGCTCGTTTATGCATATACGTGCGCATGCATACAACTCACGCATGAAATTAACGTACATAAAGTATGATTGAACCCTCTAAACCAACCCTCCCCCCCCCCCCCCCCTAAAAAAAAAATCTGGCTTCTAAACTGATGCCGCTGACTGCCAGTGTTCTGGGGCCGAATGTTCAGCGCATGAATCAGCAGGTGTACCGCATAAAGCACTCGTGAACAGCCCGCTTGAGTGCAGTGCAATGGTTTTCCCCGGATATTTTTTTCTATATCACTCAACTTGGTCCACAACTGTATGTAAACCTAACCTTGAGAGCGTGCATACTTCAGCCTGTCACGGCGTTAGACCTTTTTGGTCTTTTTCGTCCTTGTACCGCGCTGTTCTCGCTGAACACGCGGACTGAGAAAAAAGCTTCGCATGTGCCCACTGACTCTGCAAAAAAAAAAAAAAAAAAAAACATTGCGAATTTACGAGCGAATGCGACGTGCATAGCTTGTTCGTGCATAGCTAGGTAGAAATAGATTGGAAGTTTGAAATGAACTGGTCGCACGAAAAAAAAAAAGGAAAAATAAAACACGTTCACATGAAAGTGTACGTGACAAGTGCAACCTTCCATGTGAGCAGGTCATTTCTCTGCGCAGCCTTTTTACTTGCGAAAACAAGTTTTATATGCGAAGCATTTCTTAGACAACTTCGGCTACTTTGAGCGTACCTACCTCTAGCCGCTTACTTTCGGGTGCTCTTGTGGTCACCTCCTTAACTTGGCGTGATCCAAAATTAGTAGGGGGGGTAAGATGGTTTGACGAATATCACGCGCTGGTCAAGACGTGAATAATGTCACAATCACGTCACGTGCGTCGTCAAACACTTCCCGCCAGACAGTGGCGCATGAAATCAAGGTACATAAAGTATGATTGACCCCCCCCCCCCTATTTCTACCCACGGGCGGGTATGTGCCACAGGTGCTTCCCGCCAGACAGTGGCGCATGAAATTAACGTAGGTAAAGTATGATTGAACCATAGAGAAACATGATTGAACCCCTAACCCCCCCCCCCCCTCCCTTCTCCCTAGCTCTAATTCTACCCACGGGTGGGTATGTGCCGCTGGTATGCGGGTATGTGCCACAGGAGATTGACACTTAGTATCTACCCAGGACCGACGAGAACACGCATGGGCAATTTTAACGCGCGAGCGTTAAGAAATACCCCACATCAGTAGCGTCCACCCGACGAATGCAAAGAATAAATGTCAGGGTCCCAGCTGGAATCGAACCGAAGCATTGTGCGTGCAATGAAGCATTTTACCACAAAGCTACGCCAGGGCTCGGAACTACTTTTCACAATTTACACATGTACCAACGTTACGCATGTACCACTTAATTTGAAATTTGATACAGCCGTCACGTCGTGTCGTTTGTTGCCGTATGCGCTGAAGTTTATTTATGTAGCAGTGTCCAGGGCCAGCATCCTCGCAAGCATCAGCGCTTGCGAGGATGCTTCTGGTGTTATACGCATGTTCCAGTTGGCACCGTCGCTGGTTATATGAACATCTGCAACTCTTCAACATATGTCTGTGCTGCAACATTTGTACATATATATTTAGCGCCATTTCATGACGTGTCACTCGATATAACTATTGGAACACGGTCACCTTCCCTCCGCATAACGTCGATTCCCAAGTACGCGGAATCTGCCATATGTTTTGTACTCAGACCACAGGCTTTTTCTTGTTTTATTCGTACTCGCGCAGTCTGTGGAGCTTAGGCAAGGCATAATATTGGTAACCTGTTAACCTGGAGGTCTATATCAAGCGCCGAATGTTTCCCGAGACTTGAAGTTTTTAATACATAAGTGCAAAGACGTGCGAAGGGCTTCCCTCCAGGGGGGGGGGGGGGGAAGGATCGTACCCCCCCTTTTCACGGTGCTACTGAAATGTTGAAAACGTAACGTTCATGTGCCAGCTGACAGAGGGTAATCCAAGAGTTTATTGCGAGTACTTCGTCATACGCAGACTATTCCGATGTGTCAACAGAAATGCAAATTTCTGTTGAACCAATTTTCAAAACAAACCAACAGCCTACTAGGGCAGCAGCCCACAGACTTACCTATTCCACGTTTCATTGGAAGGCTGATGCCTTAGCCATTCAATCGGGGGAGGAGGCGCTACGACAACCAGATACGTACTGCAGGCACTTATGGCATCTGCCTACGTATCTATCTAGCCGCCTACGTCTGGGTGCCCTCAAATGGTAGTGAATAGGTGTTCTGTGGTGCCCTCGTGATCATGTCTTAACTTAGGATAGACACAGTCACAGCAAGTTAGTCTCGGATGGTACATCAGTAATGTCACAATCCCGTCGCGTACGACGCCCGACATGTGGCTTATACCTGTGTTCCCGAGATCTACGCAGGAACGGCGTGAACAGACAGTTGACTTAAACGCAGAGTTTACCCGCCGAAAGCAAATACATGCAAGGTTCCAGGAGGAGTCGAACACCAGTGTTGGTCTTCCACTACAGAGGTACACCAGTTATCGGAGCTACTGTTGAATACACTGGTGTACATGAAACAGTCAACTCGGAGATAGAACCATGTCGTGCAGAATATTAACGAAGCAAGATATTAGTTTTATGACGTGAAACTACTTGATTATGGTTGCAGTGCTAGCTGTCCATCAGAGAGCCGTGACCGCAAATCCGAGTCAGTCATCCGCCTGAAGTATGAATCCTCGCGACCCCCCCCCCCCCCCCCCTCCGATAAGCTTACCGCTTCTGAAGTGGCCAATGGTACCATTCAACTAAGAGCTAGCCTAATGAATAACATGCACTGCTTTAACGCAATTCTGCGCGTTTCATTTAAATATACCTTTAGCGCCACTTGATAACTCTTCGTTCAACAGAAATTAAACTGAATATATCCTTTCTAACCGCAGCAGGAAGTTCTAATCTCCGATAGAGTGCCTCGATGCCCGCTTCTTTTTACACAGCGCACGACTACGCAGACACGGGGGCCAAACCACAGCACAAGTACCTTCTCTTTTGGCTGCGTAACCATGCGCTGTGTTAAAATATGGGCAAGTACTATCGCCAAGTGGCCCAGCTTTTTTTAAGTCCTTTTCCCCCTCCCCGAAATGTAAAAGCACCCCCGTGGGGACACTTACATTTCGTGCTATAATACACACAAGCAAAGCAATTGAGGGAACTAATTTTCAATCGGACACGAGGGCAGAACAATTATTAGCTCGGCAAGTGCGGCTGACGAAATAGCAAGTGACAAACACCAAATACCAGAAACAATTTTATTGACCACGAAATTGGAAGGATTTCTCAGAAGACAACTCACCTGCAACATAAAAAGTACTATTTGTAACGGCTAACTGCACTCTGAAAAACTACAATTATTCAAATGGATCAGTATTTTTAAAATGTTCCAGCAAATATATTAGGACAAGAGGTGTCAAGTTCTCATCACTACAGGAAAAGCTAAGAAAAACTACAACACTATGCAGGAAGTGGAAGCTCACCTGTTGCATTGTTGATTGATGGCACCTGAAAAACACTAAAAGTTAGTAAATGTTTTGCAAAAAATCGGTTCAGGGTGCCACAGAAGAATGTCAGAATAAAGATTCTGTCAAGAAGAATTCAGTAGAGGTGTCAGAAAGTTCTCATCATGTGAAAATACATTTGTTGAATGTTACTTAACTTAGAAAAATTCACAAGTAGCACATAAAGAAAACCTTGAAAAAAAAAAGGCACCTGCACTGTTGATTCTCCAGCAGTTAAATCCCCTGAAAGGCAAACAAACTAAAATTATTACATTGACACACGTAAAAGCCGAACTAGGAAAGGTGATGCGATCAGATTTATGTGAACAGCTGTCATCAAGGTCAGCACTCTAGCCATGAAAATCATCATACAACAAACCTCAACGATGTCCTCCAAAACAGAAGGCACAAGGACAAAAGAAAGGAAAGTTTCAAAACTCAGGCACAGCTATAATGCTGTACACGAACTTGACACTTCCCAATAAAACATCAGAAAGAACAGTCTTCAAGTAAAGGTTCAGAGACTCCAGCCAGTGTCATCCTAAGCAGCCACAGGCATAATTCAGAATGTTACCCACCTGATGGTCTGGGTAGCCAAGGGCTTGAACAGAATACAATGCCTGAGGGTAACAAAAAGAGAAAAATGAAGTTCATAGCGGCAGCACATACCCAGTGTGCAAATTTGATAAGCAAGCTACTCAGATATTCAAGTCTTCTGCAAAGATGTTAAGCCTGGATAACTTTGAAAAGCAGTCATCAGATCACGTCAATTTACTATAGCAATACATAAAATCTTACCTTAAGAGCAAGATGTAGAGCACCCAACAAAAGGTGGCACTGAAAAAAAAAATAAATAACATTGAAAAGAAAGCCAAGAACTGAAACAGACTGGCGTTATTTAATGACATCTCAGTAACTGGAATAACGCATCACATGTCAGAAACACGGACCAACAAATATCATCAGCTGAAGCCAGTCTGCACTGCAGAAAGAGGAAAATGGGAAGCTTACCATGCTGGGAGATGGTGAACAAGACCAAGCAGCAGAAGGCAGCACTGTGAGAAGAATGGAGAATAGTCAAGACACAAACACTTGGACACAAGTGGCATTTAATGGTGTAAACATTTCAGAATACTGGAATAATGCATCACATGTCAGAAACACGGACCAATGTATCATCACAGTCAAGTGCACAAAATGCACAAGTTGCATGGGCTTATATAAGCACTGAGAGTACACAGTCGCACACCAGTTCAAGACTATTACACCCACCATTGATACTACATCTCGGTACAGCAATTGTACTTTTCAGCTTTATCACATCGCGTAGAATTTGGCATTCTAAATCACTTAATTTGTATCTACCAATTTTACATGTACACGAGTTTTGTTTATGACTTGCATACACTTTACAATCCTAACCTGCTTCTAGTTTTATTACTAGTACATGTCAAAGGGACATTTCTGAAGGCAAATCATTAATGTCAAAAAATCAAGTTCAAGAATGTTTAAGAAGCAATTCTGATCACTAACAGTGCTCCATAGAGATGAAATTTAAAAAGACAGCGCAACACGCACCACAATAAGAACATTTTGAAATGATTGCCACGGCGTCAAATGCACAGACTACAATTAACCACTAGTAACCAGTTTCAATACAGAAAAACTTCCGGGCATATTCACCGCACTTTTTTTTGGGGCAGAAAACCAATGAAATGTTTGGGATTGCAAGAATTATGCAAGAAAAAGTTTGAAAATATGCAATGCCAAGAAGAAAAAATGGCCCCAAATCGGGATTGCCAGACCAGCAACTAAGTGCAAGGTTGGAGAAGTAATATCAAAACTTAGAAGGCTCCGTAATAATATTTCAATATTTATTTGAGACAACAGCAGCAAGCAAGTAGTAGAGAATTAGACTATCGTACACGTAGCTTGTTGGCGTTGCATAGCGTCAGCATTTGTCACTTAACGGGAGCTCGCAATATGTTAGCGCAAGATGCCAGCTTTTTAGGCTGATGGACATCTAACACGGAATAGTCTGCATTTTCCTAGTGACCAAATCAAGTTTACCGTCCATCCCACTCTTTGGCACTCTGAAGGCCCAATGCACTTTCATCTGCTCGTGCAGCTGTCACCAGTAGTGAACACAAAACTAGACTGAAGTGCCTACCAGCAACCCTCTTTTAGTGCAATCAAACTGTCATGATTTTTCACTCCTGATTAAATTAGCATTTATTATTGAAATAGCCGACTAGAAACCTAGTAATTTTACTTGTGTGCCAAGGAAGGGCTTATTTTAAAAGAAAATAGAGTTTTAGTGGTCCGCATGGGGTCAGCACACTTCGAATCGCCCACCTAAATTGAACATCTAACGTCACTGTTGCCGCCCACAACGTTGCCCGGCCGCAGACACTATAGTAGTAACAGAGGGAAAGTATAGCGGGAGCCACAGCAGCAAGAATGGCTATTGCCTTTAAAATTGCACGGGTGCTTGGTTCAACTGGGCCCCTATGGCACGACCTGTCCAGTTTAACCAGGCAAAACCAATTTTTGAACTCGTACCATTCCACATAGCAAGGTTCGGCAGTTTTTTTTTCTATGAACTCAACGGAAACAACAAGCAGCATTTTTATTAAGTCTCTTGATGCACTGAAGGTTCTTGATATAGTGCAGGTAGATTCCTAGCTATGAATTGTAGGCGGTTTGAAGTTATCAGCACATGTATTGTGCATATACCGTTTTTTTTTTTTTTCCAATACAGTTGTGAGTCAGCGCCATCTCTTCTTTCTCTTTTGCTCCTTCACTGTCCTGTATTTTTTCTGGTGTTATGCTGCAAGTTCATGATGGATCCTAACCAACTGGCCCAACTTACTGCCTTACTGCATATACCTTAATTTCTTTTTAAGTAGGGTCCTGCTGTTGATAACTTATTTTAAACATCATACATTGAGCTTTCACTCTGAAGTTTCTCAGACTTCGTTCAAATGCATTGCAGCAACGCAATTGCAAATAGGTCTCCTTTTAACCCATCCCCCTCCCCAGGAGCACTAGGCAAGCACAAATGTGTGGGACTGGTTGCACTAACATCACAATATAACACCATCCGGTAACCCCACCTTACAAACATTTGAGTATGCTGGCGGCCACAGAGTAAAGGCCAGCAACATTGGGCAAGGCAGCTGCTATGATAATTTCCAAAATATACACTAGAGGGAGCTCAAGCGCTAGTGTCTATGGGTGCTGCAATTCATGGCACTTCAGTGAACATGAGAAGTGTGGGTAGTACATTGATTTGCCTAGTCTTCGTGCTTTACATTCCTTTTGGCTTTGCGTGGCTTAAAGCTGCTTTGCCATTAAACAACTATCTGCAATCGTTCGGCAGTTACGCCTCACCCCCATAATATTTTAGGCTTCCCACTTTAAATAGTGCCCACAAGTTTAAAAAGGTTCTTTTTTTTCCAACTTTGAACCAAAACCGAAACGGCAATGAACGAAACCACAAGTTCGATTCACTACTTGCAAGTATGAAGACAAGAGAAATCCATGGCATACCCTTAATGCCCATAGCCTCTGAATGATCGCAGCAAGAATACCCTATAGTTTATTTGAGGAAACTATGGCTGCTACGTCAAAGGCGTCATTTTTCAAGCAGGTAACATTAAGTGGGACAACGCTGCGCTGACCACTAGAACAAGATTTCATTTGGTACATCTTTGACAGAATAGTGGCACAAGGTTTCTGAATGGTCATTTTATTTATGAACTAAGCATTTGCCTTCCTTAGGCGCAGAAAATCTTTAGTTGAACGTGAGAACATATCACAATCGATGCACAAAAATAAAAGCATGACAAGCACTAACGATAACAGTGTAATCTAAAAAGCGTATCATATATACGAAAGATACAGGCATAAAAAAAAAAAAAAACTGACGCCCCTACCAAGCACGTAATTAAGTAGTAGATATGCAATCTCAGCATCTGCAAGAGCAATTGAAAGTTGGCTCACGCACTTGTCTCCTGCTTTTGCGATTTCACATGCTTCCGCCATTTCATGCATACCTGGTCTACTTTACCAATACAGTGGTTTCGTTAAACTACGCTGCGCAGCCACACTGCCGGCAAGTTGCATGGAAGGTGTACCTTTCAGAGCTAGCATGCTCCCCAAGACTGACAGAAAAACACTCGCATACTAGACATTCATCAAACTTTGAACCTACCTGTTAGTTTAGGCCGGTCACAATGGTCAATCTGCATGGCATTGCATGTACTGAAAATAAAATGAGCACACATTACAAACACGATTGTGCCATTTCACAATGCTACAAGATGCCAACGACAGTCAGTTTTTCAAAGTAACCTCACAATCATTCAGAGACTCTAGTCTGAAAAAACTCATCATTGATAAACTGCGGCGTGCAGACATAAGCCATCATTAAAAATCGATCTACATTCGGGGTGTGGGACTGCTTGAAGCCATTCGCAAAGTAAACTCATCTGAAGCTACGGGCAACATTCTATACATACTATTTAATTCATGATGCGAACGGTGGTACCTTGAAGTCATTGCAATGGAGGTCAAAATCCAAGGAAGTAGCATACATTGGTCAACTTCCTTCTATATATTATTTTAGATCCAACCAGTGCTCTACTATGACACAAAGGGCATTAGACAAAGCATGAAACCACATGTCCATTATGCTGTAGACCTCTGCAGTAATGCCATAATGAATGCCATTAAACAGTGTGCACAACACTCCACGGTCAAACCGTTTGTTCTTGAAGGCAAAAACTTTTCCGATCACGGAGTGCTCGAGCAAACTACGGTTCAAACAGCGTGTTTTGTAGCTTTTTATTAAATTCACGAGAGCGCAACGGTGAAGATACGCACTTTTGAATTAATAAAAATGACCTGCACGCAGCAGTTCACAGTAACCTACGAACGTTCGCGTATCAAAATAAAAGGACTTACCTATCCCATGTGTTACTAGTGCGCTGAACATCAGCCCTTCAACCGCACAAGTTTAGGCTGCAATCTCTTCGCACTGTAACAATGAGAGGCATACGTTAGAACAATCATGCGAATGCACATAAGTATGCTGCCTCAACATCCTTCAGTTTTTCACGTATGACCTCACTATCATTCAGAGACTCTAGTCTGAAAAAGACTCATCAATAATCAAAGAACAGTATATGTGGAAGATTTTTTTGCTTACTTTGTGAACCTCGATGTGTGTGTAGATGCCACCACCAAAGTCCTAGAAAGAAAGACTTATTGAACGACTTCGTAACGGCTCCGCTCCTAGAATGCGAGTGCACTACACTGTAGTCAGCGCATTTATATCTCTGCACATCGCCTAAGATCTGGATAACTTTTTGCTAATCATCAGGTTGAGCAACACGCGACCAAGCACGACGACACTCACCTGTTGCTGCTGCTTCGCACATCGCTCCCAGCCAGATCTGTCAATGAAAAAGAAAATTGCGTGAGAAATAGTAGTACTGGGTCCTCCAAATCTACTAAAGGCGCCGTTCTATGCAGCGATAGCACCTCAGACAAATGCCTCATTTGTCTTCAAAAACAGATCGTGAGCGAAGCACGCCGCAGAACGCGACTAATGCGTTCGCCGCCGAAATAGCTCGGTCTCGTCATCTATTGTCATCACTGGTGCATCGGAAATAGAAGTCCCACTTATTCATGATGTTTAAGTTTTCGTGCACCGGTACCAGACTATAAGCTGAGGCAACGTGGACACGAATCAATCTCATCAGAAGAAGAAAAATGCAAACAAGCAGGACCGAAAATAATCTGCACAATGGTATTACCCAGGCGATACGAACTCGTGTGCAGAACAAGGGCACTTAAACAGGCATTGAAGAACGGATGTATTCAGATTGAACTTACCACGACGCACCGCACGCAAAGATGACATCATGCCAAGCCTAACGTGCCAACGTGCCCTGACTGTCACAATCACCCACTCACTCCCACTTCACCGGTGAAATGAAGGACTACTTTCACACATTCGGTTTTATAGTGCGACTTGAAAAAAATAGTTCTTTGCGTGTTTTTTGTGTTACTCCGCAGATGATGACGATTGTAATGGGACGATTGTACTAGCTGTGGAAACCCAGACTAGGAAAATTATAACACCCTACCCAAATTGTGAAAAAAAAAAGCACGGTCGCTTTGATTTTTCCGGTGCCCTCAAAATCTAGCACTGCAGTCATTCAATACAGAGAGGCTGTGTTTCTATTCTAGGCAGCATCGGAGGCAGCTGACAGCTTGGAACACCACATCGAGTCCGTGTTGTCCAAGAAATAAAAATTATGGAACGCAGCTGGTTTAGGGCAACGTTGGTTTAGGGTGGCTAGAATGGGGAGGTGTGACCGCGTGGTGGTGGTGGTGGTGGTAGGAAGATGAAAAAGGCGCCTAATTTCAGCAGCCCGGTAGGGAGCAAGGCTGCACAACCCGATAGGGAGCAAGGTGCAGCTAGAGATGTGCGCCGAGACGTCGGCGCGCCGCCGCCGCGGACGCCAGCTGATTGGCGCGTCGCCGCCGCTGATGTGTTTTTTGGCGCGTCAATTAATTTTTTTTTTAGTAAAGCTGGCTTTTTTGGCAGTTTATTCTATCACCAGTAAATTATCGGTCATTTTTTAATTCTGCCCTCTAATAAACGAATCGCAATTTGCCAGGCAGTTACAGTTAAATAACTGAATCAGAAAAAACGCCAGGTCTGCGCGGAAGGCGCACCACAGTCACAGCGAGAGCTAGAAGAGCGGCCTTTCAGAGCCTGTTCTAAACACTCATTGCGTAACTGCTGCAAGCACACTTGCTTGATACCAACTGCGGCATTAATAATAAAAAATTTAGGGTAGTAGGCCGGCATTCGCTCTGCTGTGTTTTGTCATTTTTCTGAAAAGCGTGGTATCCGCTAAAGACTTGCAAAAAATTTTGTTTTCCTTGTAGTGGCTGACGACGATGAGAAATTATGCCTGAAGTAAAGTATGAGCCCCAGTTAATGGCTGAACAAGAACAATCTTTTGTAATGGGTTGGAGCATTGTACGATCCACACGCTACGCTGTTCGCATTGTGCGACGACTGGTGAATTGTTCTTTCGCTGTTTTAAAACGCTTTGTAAGTCGTATTGGCGCGATTGCTTTCCCGACACCAACCTTGCCTAAGGCAAGCTTGCCAACAAGTCCCAACCACTGGTGTGGCTCAATGGTAAAATACTGGGCAGGCCCAGTGGACCCTGGTTAGAGCCCAGTGTCATTAATGTGGATATAACACTAAGTACGTAATGTCTTGTGTTTTGTCTGCTTTGTCATGCACTCGTCCACAATCAAACCGAGTAATCTGCGCATTACCTCACCCGTGTTTATCTTCGACTAAATTCGACTAACTAAATCTAGATGCCGATTTTTCTCAACGGTGTTTAAAACAGTACATCACTAACGCAGCTCGCTGTGCGAGTTGCTTTATAATATTCGCAAAAGGAATCCAACGAAAGACACGAAGGCAACAAAAGAGAACAACCACAGAGAGCAAGCATTGAAGTTCAAACGCAATGTTTATTGCAGAAAGCCCAGCCACTCACAACCCAGCAACGCGTGCATAAATTAAGCTATTTGAGTCATTTTACAGTTGCACACCTAACAGTGCACAGGTGTTAAGGTGTTACAAACAGCACATTTTCATGAAACACTATAGAGTCGACGCTACCGTGCAATCACTATAGGTATCAACGCGAATTCTTTATCTGTAAGGAAAACTGATTGATGATTTACACATGACGCTTTTCCATTCTTTACATTCAAGCTTTTTTTTTTTTCCTTTGCCAATGACATTTATTGATTTGAAATCAGGGACGTAGAGCCATTGCAGTGCAGCGGTGAGTTTCCACCAGTACCTTTAAAGATTAGAATGCGATGTTCAAGCAGTCTGTCATTGAAGCTGATCGGTTCTTCTGACCTTTGTAGACACGGCCACATGACAAGCAAATTTCGAAAATCTCGTACGTCTGCGCTGCAAAGGCTGTAGCAGCGCGCCCCTGATTTCAAATCGGGGTGCCATAAAAAAAGGAATTGAGAAATAAAATTTAATATGAAAGTTACGAAGCCTGTCAATATAATAAATAATGCAACGTGACATATGTGATGCAAACCCTCAGTTTTTTATTCAACGGGCGTACGTGTTGTTGATATTTTGGCTTTGTGGAAATGCGCTGTTCGCGACACCTTGACATGCTTAATTCTTGGCTTTGTATTGCTAAATGTGCAACATACTAGGCTCAGATAGCCCATTTACGCATGCGCTGATGGTTCATACATGTGGGGGCTTTCTTAAATAAATATTTAGTTGTTAGTTCAGCACTTGTACTGTCTGCTTCATTCGCTGTTTTTGTCCTCTTCGATGGTTTCTTATAAAGCATAGTTCGCTAAAGATCATAAATTTTATCGTCATGCGAGTGATGTTGCAACTGTTCTCCCACACTTCCTCTTCTCCTGATAACTTCCCATCATGTGCATATACGAATTGACTTCATCAACACACGGCGTGATCTGTTTCACCATTCATCCACAAACTATACAGACCGATCGACCTCCTTTCAGCATGTTGTACGAAACATTCAGAAAGATAATCTGAATTGTGCATAGTGTTTTACCGTAGATCATCGTTATGCGAGTAATCGAAGAATTGATAAAACTGCCCCAAAAAAAAGAGCCCTCTATATGACAGATTACGAAACGGCATTAAACTCTCAAGAGATATATCAGCGGTTCTAGAAGTGTTGCGTCCGGTCGTTCTGGCACAGGAGATCCGCAAAGACGAGGTCGAGGCAGCTTGAAGATACTATCAGTGGAAGGAAACTTGACGTTTATTTAGAATAATTACAGGACAAGCATTTTGCTACGTGATTGACATATTGTGAAACCAGACGAAGATGTCTCTACTGAGCCCACTCCCGCCTGCAGGTCGATGTTTTTGACCAGGCATTCCTTTCTTGATGTGAGAAGGGCTGGGGCATAGGTCTCACGCTCGTGCAATTGAGCAAAAAAAAAAAAAAAAAAGGACCGCTGCTCGCCACGCTCAATTATCGAGGCTGGTTGTGATCTAGCCGGACACCACTCTCCTCAGGCAGGGCGGTGTGGCCGGGAACCATTGCAGTAGTTTTCGTCTAACTCCTTGCCTCGTCGGGCTGCATAGCACCCCACTTGCCGTATCGGCAGCGCATATTTGGACGGCCATCAGCGGGCCCACAGCCCTCCGTCGACCTGTTTCTTGTATTAAGAGGAAGAGAAGGAAAAGGAAAGGGGTCACTGCTTTCTCCGTGACTCGGCGCTGGACCGACCCAACAACGCGTTCAGTGGACAAGTACATGTGCGCGATTCCATAGCTGCTCCACTTTGAGAAAAAAAAAAAAAGCTAGAAAATTCCTTCTGACACTGAAAACATAAATTACTGTTTTGTAGCATTTGCCCCCCCCTCTCCTCGACTCCGCATCCCCCACTTTTTTTGTTTGTTTGGATAGTAGAAAGAACGTGCATTTTTAGGGGGTCACGCATACCTACAATCACAAGGGAATTAGGCGGCACTTGGACAGCCTTCGTTGAAAAGCTGCAGCGTTTGAGTCACGTGTTGTCAGCGGCAAGGTTGAGTTGAAACGAAAAGGAAGTTAAAAGGAAACAGATGGAACTTCAGTTACGCGTGAAAGTGGGTACAGTAGGCGAGCAATAGTACACGATTTATCATAACGTGAAAAAAAAATTCTCGTTGCCAAGCAATGTTTTCGCGATTTTGTGAGATAATCAAATCCGGAAACCAAGGAGCAGGCACAACTGGCTATGTAATAAATTGACCGAATTACTCGCAAACGTGAAGAAAGAATTCGTGTACATTTAAGAGCTCATTATTTTGTTAGGTGTCATACGTATCGTATACCGTTTCCTTGTTGTATGAGGAAGAAGAAAGGGACAGAGATTTTAGCCATTCCTTATTTCGTGGTAGAGTGTGCATAGGCCAGGCGGAACGCTCAAAGAACCAAAATGTCCGCCACATCATCGGGAGGAGACTCGCCTGCTCGACTGCAGAGAGTGCAGATGCTCGCCAGTTTTTAACGCTACCCAGCAATGAAATAAATGCCAGGGCGAACTGATGAAAGCATATATCAACGCCACGATATGCGATAGAGAACTGACTGAAGTGTATGAAATTCAAAGAAAAAACATAGTCCTGATCGTGTACCTCCCATAGCGTTATCACTAAAAGACGCTGATCATCTCTTTAGAGAAATGTAACCTATAGGATGTATCGTGCCCTAGGTTACAATTTTATGGTTTTTACGGCACATGAGCACATACATACATACATACATACATACATACATACATACATACATACATACATACATACATACATACATACATACATACATACATACATACATACATACATACATACATACATACATACATACATACATACATACATACATACATACATACATACATACATACATACATGGGTGTGTGTGTTTACTGTGTACGTATACAAGTTAAATTTCTGAAAACAAGATCCACCGCTGCCTGTCTACACTTTTGACACTTAATAATGGAACAATAATTATAATACACAACGTAGTCATAAATTCGCTGGCTTGCAATGGCGTTACGCTAATAGATTATTTGGAAAGCAGCACAATTTAAGCTGTCGATAGAAAATGAAAACTGGTTACAATGAGTTTACGCAGATTAGCAAACAGGCTTTAAATACAATTGGCACTTTTCAATATGTTTTTGTGACTTTTTAATATGTTCAATATGTAATAAGCCTTTCAGAAAGCAGAAATTATTATCTTCCGCAAAACTGGCATGATAAAATTGAGTCGTCACCGACATAAATGCCGTAACCGCGTTACTTATACACGGGTTTCTTGTGAAACGATCGAGTGCATGTAGGCTCATATAAGGAACACTGTGTTATGCAAATCGTAG